GGTATGACCACCTACTGAACAATCCCAGAGTTTAGGGATGTGCCTACCTCCCCCACACAATCTCCCTTACTGTTTGTGATTCTCCCTTTTCTTGGGTAGAATTTGAGAGGTCCATTTGGATATCATAACCATGTGTCCTGAGAACCTTTGATATCCAAAAGGTTTAAGGAAAGAGGAGTGAGAAAATGGATTACCTAACCTTGGTTCCTTTAAAAAAATTTTTTTTATTTTAAAGATGTGGGGCACAATTTCAGGGTTAGGTAAACAAATGTTCATTATGCGGGTACCCTTGTGGATGAGGTATGCTCCCCTCCTCCCCCGGCAGTTTCCTAATTACTCCCAATCCTTTTCTTATTGTATTATGATAATTGTTCAAGGTTTTCTTATGAGTGTTTGGTTCCCTTTTTAATGTTCTGCATCTAGTAAGTTCTTCTTGATGTCTCACCTAAAGTGAAAAATCTGCCATCTCGTGCAGTATAATGGCAAAGGGAGAGATCCCAGCTCTGTATTCTGTGTGCTGATTTAATCCTGAGGATTTCAGAGCTCTCCAGGAGCAGGGGAAGCCCTTGAGCCTTTCTTCCTTCCTACTTCCTTGTGCTGTCTTAACCGGGCATGGGAGAAGTAATTTGACTTGCAACTTAAGCAAAGGCTGTGGGAGGCCCCTGAGCTCAGCTTGAAGAGAAAGGGGATATTTTTGCCTTCTAGAGGAAGAAAACTCATTTTCCCAAAGCATCTCACCCCCTCCTTCTCCTGTGCAGATGAGCTTAATTTTCTTCTCCTCCTACTGAAGATGGATCAAAGCCAAGCTGTATATTCAGGAGGGAGCCAGGCAGGGAAGCTGAGTGAGGGGGCGAGGGGGCAGAAACAGAGCTTCCCTCATGGAGAGGAAGTAATTAGTTTGAAGACAGAGCTAAGATAGGGAAGCCCTTGGTAATAAAATGTTAAACTCCAAATACAGGTAGTTAAAAATTAAACCAGAGCATGGAGAGTTTATTTTATTAGTCATCCAACAAATATTTACTGGGTACCTACTATGCATGGGCAGGAGCCTCGCATGGGCACCAGGAGAGGGCCCGACTCTCCATGACCCCAGCAGGACCCAAGTAGCTGGATTAGGGACAAGGAGAAGATGCGATCTGAAAACTGAGGCCTCCTGTCACCAGGATAAGTCATTTGCCAAAGTCCCACTAAATGGCTGAATATATTGACCTTTTAGATTTAAGATTAAGCTGTTTAAAATATCAGCAGCTGTCGACCCCGGTTATATCTGACCAGCTTGTCTCATCATGGGTTAAATAATCATGTTGTCCATTAGCTTTTCCATTCACTGATAGAATTGTTCCCTGACTCAATCCAAAAAATTAGATTAACCCCTCCTTTTCAGTGTCTGTTGTGACATCACAAAGTTGCCATAGCAACAGACTATGATGTCAACAGACTGCCTGGTGCTGCTAAAAAGAGCCACGTTGGTCAAAAAAAGAATCTGTCATGCAAAGACAAGATGGAATAATATAGAAGCCAGAGGAGCTGAAACAGGATATCAAAAAGAACATCTTAGAAGGATAAGATAACAGTGAGTCTGGAGGCTCCTTTCTAGAACTAGAAATAACCAAGGTGCTTAATGAAGATTGACTGGAGAGCAGGCTTGTCTAGAGGCAGGGGAATGGAAGAGATGACCTTCAGAAGGCCCTTGAGGTCCAAGGATCCTAAGACATGAAGGACATTTGGGAAGGGGGAGAACTGACCAGCTTTGGCCTCTGGAGAATTCAGGGGCATTAACATCGATGCAAACTTCCTTGCTTCTGACCAGATCTGACAATCACCAGCTGGAACTTGTCTTCCTCTTGCTTTTGGGAAGATTTTCAGCAATAAACACACAATGACCCCCTCTCAAGCCCCATTTGCTGCCCCCTTCCTCGCAAGCCTTGGGAGGAGGCTTTCCTCCTTCGATTTCGCCTGAGCAAAGAAGCCCAATCCTTGCCACCAGCTCTGGCTCCACAGCATCCACGCCTATCTGCTCGACCTGCTCCCCATCAGCAGGACCACACCACACAGAGGGCAGGTGACCTGGGGCTGTGTCTGAGGGGACCTTGCTGGGGAGAGCAGGCAGAGAAGCATCACTTACTAGGCTCCTGTCGGTTCAGAAGAAGGCTGGACAGGCTGAGAGGAGAGAAAGGAGACTCAGTCGGTCTCAGCTTCTCAGCAGCGGCAGCGATCACAGCAAATGAATCTGGAGCATCATTTAACCCCGTGCCCACAGGATCTGAAGCAGCTCTGAGAAGCAAGTGGATTTTTAGCTCAAGAGCTTGTGTTCTGAGCTGGGAGTTCGGGAGGCGGGAGGAGTGTCTCCCCGCAGGTCGGGCTGGCATGGGTTTCTGTCGTGCAGATGGGAACGCAGCCCCAGACTCTTCCACCCGCCCAGCTACTCTGCGTCCTTAGCTCAGTGAGGTCGGACTACCTTGAAGTGGCACACCTGCTCCGTATATGCTTGTCTCTCCTTTTCAGCGTTTTTTCCTTGGGGACCTGAACTGGGAAGATGTCATCCCCTCCTCGTTGACTCTGCTCCAGTACTCTGACCGGTACCATTCTGGCCTAATATTAGAAAGCCACAGGCCTACTAGAGCACCTGGGCGACCCCTGCCACCACCCAGGGAGAGCCCCTTCAGCCTTCTCCAGTGCCAGAGCTGGGGAGGAGGGGGAAACCAGTGGAGTCTTAGCCACAGAGTCTTGGCTGCATCTCTGCCACAGCATTACGATTTGGACCGGAGGACTTACTTCTCAGAGGGATGGTAGGAGCAGGGTGGCTGGCGGGTCCTCTGAGGCTGCCATACTGGGGACGAAGCTGCCAAAAAGATGCTGAAGTTTCGGGCTGATCGACGGGCCAGGTAGGGATTTCTTCCACAGACCATGAGCCAAGTTAAGTCAGAGCAGGCTGCGTTGGCCGTTCATCCTGTTTGCATCTGGGGGCTTCGGAGTGAGGGGCCTGCTTGAGATGACCTGGAGAAGGAAGCATAGTTAGGTCAATGGTTGCTGCATTGCAGTGCTTGTGAAAGGGAAGCTATTTTGAAATTGGTAGCGCTGGGATGGAGAGAGGACGTCATTTGTAGGGGTTGCTGGGTAGGAGAGTCTGGGGCAGGGAGAGATTTGCCATCCCCTTAAAGACTTGTGATGGTTGGCAGCAGACTGTGTGCGTGCCTCTCTCTGTGTATGTCTGTCTGTGTCAGTGCCTGCAGGGAAGATTCCAACAGTTCCGCTGGGAACATACAGAGGAGAAGGAGACTGGGGGGTCAGGGCAGGGGGTGGGTGCTCTGTGCTGCTAGGAAGAAGCAGAGAACTTGGCACCTCAAGGGACTTTAGTTGTCTGCGTGCCTCCCCCCTCCCCAGAGGCCCCCTAGGTGGGGCAGATTAAGGGACAAGGGTAACTGGGACCAGCTACTCTTCCTGACAAAGATCCCCTGTGATTAAGTTGAGGAGCCTGTGCTTGTTGGACCTGGTAGGAGGGTGAGAAGAAAGTTTGGGAAGTGGGGAGCAGGCTATCAGTATGCTAGACTGAGAGCCCAGACCTGGTGGATGCTGGCCAATTTTGGGTCCTGGCTGGCAAGCCTGGGCTGCAAAACCCAGATTTCCACATAAACTACAGGCACTGCCTGCTGTGCTTTTATCTTCAACACGTCTTTAGATGAGATCTGAACATGACAGCTTTGGAAGCTGAGAAACACCCTTTGATATTATCTTTAGCTTCAGCAGACAGCCCAAGGGCTGGGCTGTGTCCTGGACTACTGAAAGGGGGTCCCCAAAAGGTTATTTTAGATCTCTCATGCAGCTAAGGGACCAAGCTGAGCTCTCCTCGCTCAGGTGCTGGCTGACCTGCTGCCTGTTGGGCAGAGCTGGCCCTCTGCGTGTGCTAAGCGGCCCAGGCCCAGCCATAGCAGTCTCTGTCCCGCAGCCTGCTTCTTAGGGTACAGAGGAGCCTGCTCTGGCAGTGTTTCTCAAGAGGGATGGGTAAAGACCTTAAAACACCTAGCCCCTCACTGGCTGAATGCTAGAATCTCCACGACTACATTCTTGCCAATGGCTGCCCCGCTTTACAGAATCCACCTCAGGTGACTCCAGGTGTGGCTTAGTCCTGCGGCATCAGCCCCCTTCAAGCTCTGTCTGCCGCCTTCCTCCCCCATCTCCCCCAAGAGCCTCCTGGGGAACTATCCTGTCATTCAGCAGAGCCACAGCAGGACTCGCGACACTGCGCCCCATCTGCCTCTGCACACGCCCCGCCCCTGGAGCTTACTCCCTCCTGCTTCCTGGCAGGCTGACCTCACAACACCCCACCACACTCTGAGCCACAGCATCCCTTAATTAGATCTGACTGTTGAGCCAGCACTGACCTTCATGCCTGACAGCTCCTGAGGTCTCAGGGACATCAAGTAGCCCTTAGAAGGGAGACCCTGGGCGTAGGTTGTGGATGGGTCCCATCTCAAGCTTGAGGCTGGAGTTTCTAAATCTCCCATTTCCTTTTAAGAAGGAGAAGGAACATAAAGCAGAAGGAGTTCAAGGTCACAAGAAGGTTCTTTCAGCAAATAATGAGGGAGCATTTTCTATGTGGAGCACTGGCAGGTGCTCCCTGGGAGAGAAGCTGCCACAAGAGAAATCTTGTGGCAGGGTTGAATGGACTCCTCCTCCCCCCAACACACACCTAGGAGGACCGCTGAAAGAGTTAAGTGAGGCTCATTTTCAGCCTCAAGGATCGCTAATAAAGCTAACACTGACTAAGGAAAAGTGACTAGGCTTCATTTCTTCCTCTCCCCACCTTCCACCTCTACCCCCACCCTGACTGCAGCCCAGCCCTCCCTCTTGCCTCCAACTGACCCTGCTGAAGGACAGAGCCACAAGCCCCTTATGGGGTCAGCTGTCCCTGTCACTGCCCAGGGTCTGTCCACCCTTTGGCTTATGTCTCTGCCTTCATTTTTACCACAACGTCTCTTTCTTTTTTTCCCCCTCTACAGCCACAATGAAAGACGGAACACATTTCTACACCCAGTGACTGGCCAGGTCCCAGAGGAGAACAAAAAATTTGACTTGAAAACGTAAGCTTGCCCCTACTTACTGGTGTTTGGTCTTTCCATCCTTAGCTACCACCATCCCACTGCCTCCTTGCAGTTGGGAAGGGGAGGGCAGTGGGGAGGGAAGGAGAGAAGAAGGCACTGGGGGTCATTCACCTCAGTTCTGAGGACCAGAAGCTTCTGAGGCCCATCTGGCCCAACACCTTCATCCAGGTTTCCTGGGGTCTGGCAGAAACCAGGTTGGCACACCACATAGGTTAAAATAAGAGTATAAGACAGGTGTGAGGTTGGCATATTACCTAGGGCCCTTTGAGGGAAGCACTGAGGAGATCTGAGATAATCATAAAAGCCAACTGCTATTCCCCTCACTGTGGATCCTAGCTCACCAAATCAAAGGAGAGAAAAAAAGAAAAGGAACAGTAATAGACTCTCAGATGTCGCTGGGCCATTGTGTCCTTTAAAGTAGAAGGAAAAGGAGTTCTGGAGTCCCAGGGTATAGTTTGTTTTTTTGTGTTTGTTTGTTTTTTGTTGTTGTTGTTGTTGTTTGAGTCTGGGTCTCACTTAGTCACCCAGGCTGGAGTACAGTGGCACAATCTTGCTGCAGCCTCGACCTCCTGTCCTGAAAGGATCCACCCTCCTCAGCCTCACAAGCAGCTGGGACTACAGGCACACATCACCATGCCTGACTAATTATTTTTAATTTTTTATAGAGACGAGGTTTTGCTGGGTTGCCCAGGCTGGTCTCGAACTCCTGGGCTCAAGATATTCTCCTGCCTCGGCCTCCCAAGCTACTAGAATTACAGGCATGAGCCACCACGCCCAGCCCCATGGTCTAGGTTTTGTAAATAAATGTATAGGAAAGAAAGAAAGGAGAATATCAAGGATCAATGGAATATAACCTCAGAAGGACTGAAGGTGTGACTGAGCTGACCTCTTGATGGCACTCAGGAGATGTAATTTTGTGCTGATGCTGGCACAGTAGGTGGCAGGGTGGGTAGAAGGGATGGGTGGTTTCCATTGTTTCCTGGCTCTGACTAGTCTCTGTCTTCTGTTCAAAACTTGAAATCAGATCGGCTTTGGACATGTCCAATAAAACAGGTGGGAAACGCCCGGCCACCACCAACAGTGACATATCCAACCACAACATGGTGTCCGAGGTCCCTCCAGAGCGGCCCAGCGTCCGGGTAAGTCCAACCCTCAAGGCAAGTTTTCAAGCAGGAAATGCCTTCAGTGCATGTTTAGTGGGATCTCGGGGACTCTTAGGAAATCCTAGCCTGCCTGCCCAACTATTTCTTCAGGCTCCAAGAGCAGGCGAGGTTAACCAGGAAGAGACTGGGAAAGAAAGAGGGCTCAGACCAGAACTTCGTTGGAGACCAGCATCTAGACCAGAGGTTCTCAGCCTCAGCACTGTTAGCAGTTGGAGCTGGATGTTTCTTTGTAGTATAAGACTATCTTGTGCATTGTAGAAAGTCGAGCAGTAGTCTTGGCCTCTACCCACTAGCTGCCAGTAGTACCTCCTCTCCAGCTAATGACAAAAATGTCTCCAGATATGGTCAAATGTCCCCTGGGACAAAGCCTCCCCAGGCTTACTGAGAACCACTGATCTAGAGAGACACTCATGAGGGACCTGGGGACTTGAGAGCTCAAAGAGGGAGAAGGAAGGAAGACAGCCTCAGGAGAAAGAAATCTAGAGTGCAGCAGAGAGGGCTGGTAAGATAATGGCTGAATGTGTCCTTTGGGATTAGCAACAGTGTGGTCATTGGTGGCCCTGACCAGGGCAATTTGAGTGTCGTAATAAGAGCAGAAGACAAGCCAGAGAGGCGAGAGAGGGGATGGCAGAGGAGACGTGGGAAAGTGAAGAGTAGAAACTGCACTTCTAAGAAACTAGGGAACAAATGGTGGCATATTCATGTGACAAAATCCTCTCCAAAAAGTAAAGTGAACTGGAGCGATATGTATTAACAAGGATAAATCTAGAAAACATAATGTTGCGTAAAAAGCAAGTGGTGGAATATGAGGAATATGATATCACTTATGTAAAATGTGCAAACATGCAAAGCAGCACTGCATATTTATAGGAACATCTGCAGTGCAAGTATATAACCATGGACAGGAAGACTCATTTTGGGTCAGTGGTTGCCTTTAGGGAAGAAGGAAAGGTAATGAGGTTGGGTAGGGGCTCGAGGGAGTTCAGCTCAACTGCCTTATTTTATTAGGGAAAACAACGCGAGGTGACGATCATCATCTTATTCCCTACTTTTCTGAAGTGTTTGAAATATTTCAAAAAAGTGTTTTTAAAGAAACTTGACTATAAAGGGAAAGGAGAAGAAGGGGGTGGGAACTAGAAGATAACGAAAGACAGACAGATGGAGTTTTTGTTGTTGGTTGGTTTGAAGATGCCAGAGGTGTGAGGGGGATGAGCCAGGAGATGGGTCCAGGAGAAAGGGGGCAGCTGGTAAGTTACATTTCTGTGGGGACAGAGGGAGTCAGAGGCAGAGGTACTGTGAGTCTAAATGAGGAAAGGGCACCTCTCCCTGAGACTACATAAAAAAAGGTGTGTGAAGCTGGCAGGTGGGTGTCTAGGAAAGCAAAGACACTCCCACCTGATGTCCCCAACTGGTGCAGGTGGTAGGGTTTACTGCTGCGAGGAGTGGGTGGGTGGGGATGCATCAGGTGGGGGACTGGGGACTTGAGAATTCTTGGTGTAGGTTTGGGGACCAGGAACAGTATCAACAAAGAGGCACATAAAACATTGCCCTATTATTCCAAAGGGTGGTTGAGGCTGTAGATTGTGATGCTGTGTGGCCCCCATCTGCAGGCTTGTGTGGTTTTCCACCAGCGGTGTTCAAAGTCTGGCTGTGAGAGCAGACAAGGCAGATGGCTGCATTGACTTCAGGTTGCTGGGATGCTGTGGCAGAAGGATTAGGAGGCTGAGATGTTGAAGGGCTAGCGGGAGGATGCCCCAGAGCCATAAACTATGGGGGGCGGCTTCTAGGCCATGGAGAGAGGAAGTGAGAGGCTGAGAGAAAAGGGAAGGAAGTAGGGCCTTGCATATTCTTAGGGTGGTGGGTGACATCTTCAGATGGCGACTCAGCCACTCTGTGTGGATTTTACTGGTAATGTTCAGAATATAATTTTATTTCTTGGTTATGGGGGTACTTTGTAATAAAACCCAATTCCTTCCCTCTACAAGGATTTACTAAGTGCTTGTTATGACTGGACATTGCTGGCTCTAATGATAGAGTGATGAAAGTATTCCACTGCAGAGAGCTCATAGTGCAGTGGAGGAGACAGAAAGCCAGCAGTCACACCACAGTGTGACAAGCTTTAGTCTGTACAGCTATACAGAGAGGTGGGTACAGCTAACTGCTCAGAGGGATCAGGGAGGTTCTGTGTGGGAGGGGGAGTCTGCACCAGACTTTAAAGGATAAGTTGGGATTTGTCAGTGTTCAAGGGAGGTTGGGGCCCCCCCTCGAGGGAGCATGGTGAGCAAAAGCATAGAAAATGGGAGAGAACCAGATTCAGGGCCTATGGGTAAAGGGGCCAAAGGTGGGTTGCAGGTCTGGCCAGCTCTCACAGATCCATCCTTTCTTGCTGTGCTAAGGAATTTGAACCCACTCCCAAGTGCTGAGCGAGAGCTAGTAAGAAACTTTAAGCCCGAGAGTGACATACTTATATTGTGTTTTGGAGAAATAACTTCAGTTCTTTACGGAGGATGAACAGCAAGAAGAGAGGAGGACCTACAAGACAACAAAAGTGAAATCTGAGAGGAAAGAATGGATTTGAGAATGATCAAGGAAATAGACTCATCAGCCTCTTATCAATGATTGTATTTTTAAAAGATGGAAGGAGGAGGGAGCCATGTGAGAAGACTCAGAGTTCTGGGATGGGTGGCTGGGTGGACTATAGCACCATTCTCCAAGATGAGAACTACAGATCAACAGGTTTGGTTAGAAAGAGAATGGGATTGGTTTTGCACTTATTTAATCCTGTTTAAACAATCAGTTATAACCAGTATGAGGTTAGGAGAGAGGTCTTATAGCTAGAACTTAGGGAATTTCCATTATATTGCTTATAGTTGAAGCAATGGGTAAAGATGAGATTAAGCAGGTACAATGTATAATGATAAAAACAAAAATAAAATAATAAAAATGTGGTTGAGGTTCACCAACATTTAGAGTAGAAGACGGAGAGATGGAAAAGGAGTGGCCCCAGATGCAGATAGTAAAAGGAAAACAATAGTGTTGCAGAAACCAAAGGAAGAGTTTCTGGAAGGTTAGAAAGGTTAATGTTGCCCAGTGCTTTGGAGAGGTCAAGGTTGAGTGACTTTAATTCAATGACATTGCAAGAGCCAATTTTAGAAAAGAGGCATAGGAGGTTTAGGAGTAATGGGAGGAGAGAAAGTTGGGATTCGTCCCCGCCTCCTGAGGCTGAAGAGAAAGCAAAGGAAGGAATTAATTACCTTACAGCGGGCAGTGGCTATCGTGTTAAAGGGGGAATTTAGGAGTGTGTGGGAGCATGGGGCTGGGGTAGAGATTGAGAGGAGAGAGGAGGTGGGGAGATGCTTTCAGATGGAGAGACTTGAGCACGTTTGCTGAGGAGAAGAATCGGTGGAGGAGGAAACAGCAAAGGCATATTTGAAAGGAGATGATCAATGGAGCTAGGGCTCAGAGGAGGTGGTGGGTCGAAAGTGTTAGCCTTGGAAAAGAGGACGAAGCCTCTTCTTTTGACATTGGAGGGAAAGGACAGTCATTTTCTAGGTAAAAGGGTGTGAAATCGAGGAAGTACATGCTTGATACCCTCCATTTTCTCTGTGGGCAGGGCAGAGGCAGGGGAGGCCAGGGGTCTCGAGAGCACGGCGGCGAGGGTGTGGGGCAGAGTGGCCGCCTGGGGCTGAGCCTGCTGGGGTTGGGACCGTGGCTCTGCGGCAAGCTCATCTGTACTGCAGTGTGATTTTTCTCTCCAGCAGCACCATAATCTGGCTGTGAGTGAAGGGAGTGTGAATAATTTGATGAGTTTGGAATATACTGTATTGAGTTTTAGAGAAGATGAAGCCAAAATACAATAGATGGGGCTTTTGAGAGTCCTGTTGATATCATCTGCTGAGGGACCTAGGGTTTGTGGGGAAGGAAGGAAGTAAAACCAGGAGGTAGATGATGGATCCAGAGCCAAAGGGGAGAGCTGAGCTGGAGACATCAATGGAGTAGAAAAACTGCTGTGGTTGATCAACAGACTGAGGAAGCCCACTCTAAAGTGGAAATACTAGAATTAAAGGTGTCGGGGTGATGGGGCTTGGGGTGCTGACAAGGGTGAAGAGGCAGCCCTGGGAGTGAGTGTCTGGAAGTGAAGGATACTGGAGTTGAGAGCATCACGGTAACGTAAAGTTAGGGCATTGGACGGATCACCCCTAAGAGCAAGAACATTTTCCACAGTGACTGCAAGACTTAGAGTGAAGAGAATACTAACATCAAAACCCTTAGACTCTGAAAGAACAATCTAGAAGTTGATCAGGATGAGGAGAATTAAACAGTGGGAGATTAGACAGTGATGCTTCTAGAAAGGAGATTGTTGCTAGAATGTGAAAGGATGACAGTGTCCACGTGACACTGAGGGGCTAGAAGGACACCTGACTTTCCTCCCAGCTCTGTGATATGTTGGGCGTGAGACAATGCACAGGCCCCTGAGAGGAAAATGACGCAGGGAATTGATTTACAAGCTGAGTGGGTTCCAGAACATGTGGTGAAAGGGGTAGGGGGTTAGGAACTGGGGGGGATAGGCCAGGAGGGAAATGAGCAATCTTACTATGTCTCCTTAAAAACAAAAAAAGCTATAAGACAGGCAGGGCTATTATTTTGAGCCCCATTTTAGAAATATGACAAAGAGCCACAAAACTGAAAGGCCATCCAAGATTCACACTCAGGCTGCTTGGTGTGAGGGAATCCAGGGGTAACCCTAGGGTGATGCGGCTCCTAACAGAGGTTGCTCCCCTGCAGACAGAGCAAAACGGAGGAGAGGAAGTCAGGCCAGTTTCTCTCTCTCTGCCCCCCCAGGCAACTCGAACATCCCGCAAAGCCGTCGCCTTCGGCAAGCGCTCACACTCCATGAAGCGAAACCCTAATGCCCCCGTCACCAAGGCGGGCTGGCTCTTCAAACAGGTGAGGCCGACCTGCCATTCTGGTCACCATAGCCATTGCTTTCTCCTCACAGCGTTATGGCTTCTCTGTGCTTATGGAAATCCTTTTTTTTTTTTATTTTTTATTTTTGGTATGCCTTCCTGTTGTCTCTGTAACTGAGTAATTTTATAAATGCCCAGAGAAGCTGAATATCTTCCCAAAGTCACACAGAAAAATTAGTGTCAAATTTGTGAATCAAAGCCAGGTTTCCTGATGGGCAGAGGTCATGATTTTGAAACATGCTGGATCAGCTGGGCATGGTAACTCACACCTGTAATCCTAGCACTTTGGGAGGCCAAGGTGGGAGGATTACTTGAGCCTAGTAGTTCCAGACCAGCCTAAGCAACATAGAAACACCTTGTCTCTACAAAAAAATTTTTAAAAATTAGCTGGGCATGGTGGTATACACCTGTAGTCCCAGCTACTTGGAAGGCTGAGACGAAAGGATCTCCTGAGCCCAGGAGGTCAAGCTGTAGTGAGCTGTGAATGTGCCACTGTACTCTAGCCTTGGTGACAGAGTGAGACCCAACTCAGTGTGGGGGGGGCAGAAAAAAGAAATATGCTGGATCACCAGCCCGACTAGAGCAAGCCACTGACTTACTCTCAGGTCCCACTGGCTATGGTGGGAGGGGATATCCCCTTCACATTGAGGGTTCCCTGACTGACCTTGCCACTGTCCCTACCTGCCCTTTACTCACTCATTCTGCTCATCTCTTACCCTTTATCCTCCTCAGGGGAGGCACTGAGTCCCAGAACGACAGAACAGGAAGGTCACAGGCAATAGTCTAATGTCAGTTCCCTGCATCCGAGGTCTCAAGGGGGTTGCTGCCATGCATTGGTGGCAGAGCTGCAACTAGAGCCAGAATGTCCTTCTAATCGGCGTGGTACCCTATCCCCTGCATCCCACCTCCTCCTCCGCGCCCAGCTTGCATCTCCTCACAACCATCTCCCCATGTGTCCTGCAGGCCAGCTCTGGGGTTAAGCAGTGGAACAAGCGCTGGTTCGTCCTGGTGGATCGTTGCCTCTTCTACTACAAAGGTGAGCTTGCCCCTCAGGCTGGCAGGGGTGGCAGGAAGCAGGGCCTGCCGTGCTCTCCCATTCTGCTGTGCCACCGAGCACTGCTCTGGATGGGCATTGGCAGGGCAGGTCTCCCCACTGTGGTCCCCTGCACCCATGGGATGTGGCAGTGGGAGGAAAGAGTTCACTCACTTACTTGCTCGATTCTCATTCAACCACGTCTACTAGGTTTCAGGGAGGTTGAGGTCCTGCTTGGCAATACAGTAGATAGACAAGGCAGTCACATGGATGGTGAAATTGAGGAAGGGTGAGGGAGACAGGGCAAGGATGAAGAGGAAAGAGGTCACTAGTTACTACTAGCAGGGCACCTACCAACTAGAGCTTGTATGTAGATCTTCCTTCTGTCCCACTGGAAAGTATGGTTCAATCCGTGGAGGCAGGGATTTTTTGTCAGCTTTGATCACTGCTGTATCCACAGCATCTAAAACAGTGTGTTGGCCGGGCTCGGTGGCTCAGCCTGTAATCCTGCACTTCGGGAGGCTGAGGTGAGTGGATTGCCTGAGCCTGTGGGTTCGAGACCCACCTGGGCAACTTGGCGAGACTTCATCTCTACAATAAATCAAAAAATTAGCTAGGCATGGTAGCGTGCGCCTATAGTTCCAGCTCCTTGGAGGGCTGAGGTGGAAGGATCGCCAGAGCCCAGCAAGTCTAGGCTACGGTGGCTGGGAGCGTGCCACTGCACTCCAGTCTGGGTGATGGAGTGAGACTCCAACTAAAAAAAAACACAAAACAGTGTGTGGCACTTAGTAGGTGCTCAGTCAATACTGAATAAGTGAACACTCTCGGCATCCACCCTGTCTACCTAGCCCAACTATAGCTCTCTACTCTGGCTCTAAAACAAAACTCAAACAAAAGGGCAAAGATTTGATAACTTTGATGCAGCCACCCCTAGGAAGTTATATTTAAAATATACACAGCAACATTGTGTCAAGGGAGGCTCAGAGGGCACCAACAAGGGTTGCTGACTGTGAAGGTGGCGTCATGCTGTTGCAGGGAGAGGAAGCAGGCATGGGGGAATGAGAGAAGAGAGGGTAAAATTATTTTGAAGCAGGAGAGGTGTTTCCTCCACTTCCTTGCCCCTGAACAGCAGAACCCTGATTTCCTCAGGCCTGCTGGGAACAAATCAGTAAATCATTAACCCTGGCCAACAAAGGTTGTACCCAGTGTCCTCCACCCCTGCCCCCCCCAGTGCTGTTGTCCCTGAGTTGTGGCCACCTGAACCCCAAGGGGAAAAAATCAAGAAGTGACTGAGTATATAGGGTCCAGTCACATAGGAAAGCTCAAGATTGGGGAAGAAGAATCTGCCCGGGCCCAAGACCCAGGTGCTGAGCCCCCAGGAAAGGGGGCCATCCTGGGACCAAAGAGGGAAAGAAACTGGGAGGAAAGCCAGGATCTCTGCTTTGGGAGATTCGGGGAGTCGCAGTGAGCTAAGAACTCAAAGGGGCAAGACATATGGAAATGGAGGAGTCACTGTCCATGAAGAGATCATCTCAGGACCCCCTAAAATGGGCCTGGCAGGGGCATCTCCTCTGGAGGCTGACAGGCTCAGGATAATTTTACCCTCTCTACTCCTCCTGAAGACAGCCCTGGAGTCCAGCCCCGATTCCCTCCTACTCCATTAGCTCATCCCTTCCTCTGGGCCCCAGGCTGGAGTCTGCATAGGACAGCTGAACTGTGGGCCAAGTACCTTGTGGATGTGATGAGTAAGCAGAGAAGCAGAGCTCAGGGAGTTTATTACCCCTCAGAGATTCCTTCTGAGCCCTGGCTGAGGGTTTTTCAGGGTCCCCTGCCTGGGGAATAAATAGTAATCCCTGGGAAATTAGGGTGGTTCTTGCCATGGTCTTTTAGTGACAACCCTCCACCACCCCATAGCTCATCTTACCCTTTCTGGCCTCCTGCTGACAGCTGGGGGCCTGACTAGCTAATCCATCAGGCTTCTTGGGAGATCTGGGATGAATTATGTAATAGCTGGGTTGTTAGCCTGATTCCAGGGAAGAGAGAGACGAGGGCTCCATGCAGGGATGCATTTGCTTGTGAAGACGTGGGACCTTAAAGGAGGTCTGCAGCAGGAGAGGGCAAAACCCGCTCTGGGCTCCTAGAAAAACCTTAGGAAGAGTAATCCAAAGGAGCCAAGAGCAGAGGACAGGATGGTTTACTCGACTGTGCTTGGTCCTGTCACCCCGTTACATGTATCATTGGGGGATGGTCTCGTTTAACAGGGCAGAATGGATAGGATAGTAGTCAGGATACTAGCTTTGGAGCAGACCTTTTGGGTTTAAAGACCAGTTTTGCCACTTATTGCTTAAGTAACCTGGGGCAAATTACCTAACATCTCTGTGTCTCAAATGGGGATCATAATAGTACCTCTTCACGGGCTTGTTAGAAGGGTTACTTCCATTAAGGCATTTCACTTCGAACAATGCCTGACAAGTAGTGAACGCTTCCAAAATGTTAGCTGTTATTTCCTTGTTTATTTGTGCACCAGAGGTCGGGCACAACTTCTCTTGTTCACCTCTACAGCCTCAGCATTTGGAACAGCGTCTGCAGGGCCACCACACTCCCCCCCTGCAGGGAGTGTGCCTCTTGGAGTGTGTGTGGTGGTCCCGAGGGCCTGACACATAGTAGAGGAACAACAAATATTTGTTGGTATCGTACTAGGGCCAATGCACTCCTCCCCCTGCCCCTACACACATGCACATGTTATGTATGCACACACACACACACACACACACACACACACACACACACACACCCCCACCCACACACCCCCACCCCTCTCGTCCCTCTCTCCCCAACAGATGAGAAGGAGGAGAACGTCCTGGGCAGCATCCCCCTCCTGAGCTTCCGGGTAGCAGCGGTGCAGCCCTCAGACAACATCAGCCGGAAACACACATTTAAGGTCAGTTGGCCTTCCTCTCCTAGGTCAGGTGGAGGAGGGAGGCATGCTCTCCTAGAGCACATGGGAACGGAGAAGGAGCAAGAGCCATCTCCCTCAGGAATCCTGAGTGGTGGTGGTGGTGGAGGAGGAGGAGGGAGTAGGCAACGGCCCCTAGGCTCAGGATAGTCTAATGTAAGGCTAAAGTGAGGCGGGGACCCTCTCCTCTTCTCTCGGGGGTCTGGTGGGTAATTCCTTCCAAGGTGGACCAGTAGAAGTTGCTTCAGCGGCACCACAGTTTTTCCTGGGGAAGTCAGAGCTATGTCCTGAGTCCTTGGGCCTTTTGTCCTGTGGCCTACCCCTGGGAAATCTGTCTTGGCAGAGGCAAGAGCTGTGGCTGGTAGGGTTCTGGGACCTGTTCTGGAAAGGCTTCTCCTTACCCAGGGCACTGGGCCCCCACCCCCCACCCCACCCAGTCATACTCACTTAAATTTCAATCTTTAGAGAAAGTTAAAAGTTGTTTCATTGCACTCAAGAGCTGCAAACCTTATGTAGACAATAATTTGAGAGAATGAGTGCACAGGAAAATGGGACTCACCTGCTCAATGTCACTCCCTCTGAGCCCCTGGGGGATCCACCCGCCAAAGACGCGCCAGCAGCTGGCTCATCCTAGGCCAGTGTTTTTCCACATTTAAAAATTCATGACCCATTACAAACTATGAAGATCTCGTGCCCTTTTTGTATTTTATGATGCAAAACTCATAGGTTCCTTTTCATTTTCCAAGTATAAAATTATTATATTGACTACGCATTTTCTTAGTACAAAGCCCTCTTTCCCCCAGCTGAGAGTTGCTGTCCAAGACCCTTCAAAGCTACAGCATTAGGTGATAGGACCAGGAGGTCACCCCAGGTCAGCATCTGAGCTTCTAGAGCCTCAGAGACTCTGCTCCTTTCTGTCCTTCAGATTCTGGTCACCCAGCCACAGAAAAGAGGCAGGCAGCGTGCACAGGTTCTGCTAGGGGGAACAAGGAGGGACTTCACACATAATTAGTTTCCAGCCTCCCGGGGTCTTGTATGCCAGAGGTGTGAACAGAATGAACAATTAATAAAACTCTGACTCCAGGAGCTGGTTCTAGCTGGGGAAATAGAAGCAGGTTGTTTAACCAACAACAAACAGTCCTGCTATTCACAGACACATACACACACACCCACATACACAATCAAACAGCCTCCCCACCAGACCTGTGCACAGACAGAGACACACTCCAGCTCAGAGTTCTGCCAGCAGCAGGCGTGACATCCCTGGATGACTGACACGCACCCCCACCACCAATCCCAGATATCACCTTTGTGCCCACCAGCCTGGGGACTCCTTCCCCTTTCGCTGCACTGCCTCTTTAAAAACCAGCTCTGTAGGCTGTGCTCAGTGGCCCACAAAGGGTTCTGATTGTGGCTATTCAGTGGCCCTTCCCCAGGGAAGGGAGGGGAGCTGAGACAGACAGGAGGCTTGTCCTGCTGTGGCCACCAGGCGAAACTCTTGGATGGCTAATAATGGGAGCCAGGGACTGTTCCTGCCCAGGCTGCCGCTGAGTGCCTTAACCTCTTCTTAACCTAGCCCTACACAGACTTGCTGGGCTCCGCCCTGCCGGGACAGTTTCGCCAACTCTTAGGCCCCCTTTCGTGGTTCTAAGCCAGTCCCTCCACCCTCTCCTCCTCATCAATGGCCCTGTCTTTTCCCAGGCCCTCTGCCTTGCCCTGTCACAGCACTTGTCCCTGTGCCTCTGCGCTCTCCCTGTTTCCTGTGGCATGTTTTGTCCCCCAGCGTGACTGTGGGCTCTTCAAGTGCAAGAGCATGTTTTTGCCTTCCTTGTGACTGGTGCCCCTGGCGAGTTCCGCACACACAGCCGCTCGCTCGCTGGATGCTCATTGAATTGATGCATTCATTTGCTGCCCATTCCCACCCGCCCTGGGTCGCACCCACGAGCCCTGCCTGTGTGTCTCTCTTTCTCTACAATAACCCTGTGTTCTCTACCCAGAGGGCTCGCTTGGGCCCTGGTCTCTCTACCTCGGTGCCATCTCAAGTCCCAGTTACCTCCTGACAACCTCACTGACTTTTCCTCAGCAACTCCCCAGCCCCGGCCTCTCCCATACCCATCCTGAGCTCTGCCCTCATGCTGGGCTTTCCGCTGGAGGGTGGGCCCAGAAAAAGGAGGCCTACCCTGCTTCTTGCTGAGTAATGGCTCCTGTCTGAAAGAAATTGAGGCTGGGGACAGATGGAGGTGAGGTGAGACCAGCTGCAGTTGAGGAAGCTCATGAGGGTCGGGTCAGGAAAGCATTTAGAGGGGGCTGCTTGGGGGAGCTCTGAGACTGAGTCGGAGGAGCTCTGGCTCCTCTCCCAACCCCCAAGGAGTCAGAGGTTGGAGTGAGGCTCCCATCTGAGACTCTTCACACAGCTAGACCTCCCTGTTGAGTGGAATGAACCAGGCTACTGTTTTTTGAGGGAGATAGAGGGTCTCACTGGGGAGTATGCTGAGGTTTCAGAAAGAATCTAGTACTATGGGCACTTTTCACTGTGGCCTAAGAACCAGGCAGACCCCTCCCCATTAAACAGATGCATCAGTTAAGATGTGTTAGAGCAAAACACAACGTGTCTATAGTTCCAGAGCTGGTCAGGAGGAGAGCTAAGGTTCCCTGATTCACTCTCTACCACTGGCCCCAATTTCTGTGGTGCAAACTCTCTACTCCCTGCCCCCTTGGTAGCTGAACTGGGCATTGCTGGGTTCTGTTATCCCAGTGGTAACATCAAGTAAAAGGGAACAGTCTGGATTTCCCCCTTCCCTGTGCTCCTCAACGTTTTCTGCCATATCGTCTTCTGCTTCTCCCTCTGGTGTTTGGTTGACCTGTTCTCTGCTTCTCCTCCTCTGACCGCGTGAGGACCCTTCCTCTGGACAGGAGCTCTCCTCTGGGTTCCCGCCCGCTGTGCCTGCTCACAGCCACCAACTAGGTAGTGTGCTCCGACTGTATGCCAGTGCATGCCCTTGCTTGCCCATGAACAGGGGCTGGGCTGTCTCTCCATGGGGAAGAGACAGTGCTAGCTTCTCAGCAGTGAAGCCGGGGCTGAGATTGGCATGTGCTCAGGGGTCATCTCCCCCAGACATTGGGTAATTGCCTTTCATATTGGAATTGGATGGGAAAGTGGGTGTGGTAATTGTCCCTCCTGCTTATAATCACCCCAGGTGGGACAAGTAGGCTTCCCTGGCTACTGGGCTGCCTAATGGCATCCAGAGAGCTAACCAGGGCAGAGATCTGGATACGAGCTAGAGCATGTGGGATAGCTGCACTACCCTCTTCACCTTGCTCCTGACTCCATGTGGGGAAGAGAGCCACAGGTGCAGGGAGTGGCCTGACTAACTGCCCACTCTGTGGGTGTTGGTGTCCTCTCCCAACAGGTGACTGTGTGCTGGGTGGATGAGGCCGGAGCCAGTTCCACGCACTGCCTCTCCCCACAGGCTGAGCATGCCGGTGTCCGCACCTACTTCTTCAGTGCCGAGAGCCCTGAGGAGCAGGAGGCCTGGATCCAGGCCATGGGGGAGGCTGCCCGAGTACAGATCCCTCCAGCCCAGAAGTCGGTGCCCCAAGCTACACGCCACAGGTAAGTGGCAGGGTCCTGGACATGAGCAGGGGGAGAGGAAGAGGAGGATTGACATGCTCAACTCTATACCATTGTTGAGCCCAGCATGCTGACTTGAACTCACAGTGTGTGTGAACCCTCTCCTCGCATCTGAGCAAGAGGCCTGGCAAAGTGATGTCTGAGCCTGAAGTCTCTCTTCCCCTGGCCAGCCCCTCCTCTTCCCTCTGAGCTGAGGGAGGCCAAGAGAGAAGCCCGGTCCCACTGGAGACTGGCCAGGGGCCAGAGGTCACGGTCATTTGCTTGTTTTTCTCGGCTGTGTGTGTTAAGCACACAGTCTTTGGAGGAAAGCTTAGAATCACACCCTGGCCACTTGCCCACAGTGTGACCTCAGTGGAAGGGGCTTACCCTCTCGGAACATGAATTTCCTCTGCTCCAAGCCTGCAATTATAGTCCCAGCTCATAGGGTGGTTTTGAGGACTACACACAGTGCGTGTAAAACTCTTGACATGTAGCAAACTCTTAACATATGGCCGCTCCCATCACCCGTCATCACCCACGGTCTCAACGTCTGTCTCTCCTTTACTGGGTGTGGAGTCTTGAGTTGGGTGTTAACGGGGATCCAGAAGAAGGGGGTTTCACAGTGTAGACTCCAAGTCTATTCACATGTCTTAGAAATGTTTACCAAGCAATATTTCAACAAGAATGCTTGAATATATTGAATTTGGGCAGCTGTATGGAGAAAATTGTCATAAATTTCCATCTTCGCTTCAACCAAGGGGCACACTTCCAAAAGTTAGTTCATTTCACAAGTGCCTCCTGTAAAGTAGATGTGTAAGGCACTATACCGGGTGCTAAGAATACAGGAAGGAAAGCCTGCCATGTTCCTATATAGAGCCTATATTCTAACAGAAAGTCAGTCCCGGAAGAAACATGTTTTAGAGAAGGGAAGTAATGTGTTTACATGCTGTGAGTTTAGAGGCAGCAACTCCTGCCCCACCAACTCCTGCCCCAGCAACCTGTGCCATGGTTCATCCCACAGCAGACTTGAAGGGGAGGTATCATCTCACCCATCCTGCCAATAAGGCACATATGTAACTTTCTATAGGTAACAAGTCTTTACCACTGGGACATAGAGGACAGTCATTGTCATGAAACTTCAGTAGAGTGAAAACCCAGTTTGGGGGGCTGGATCAGAAACAGATTGCAGAGAAGACCAAGACTAGGTGAGGTTAGTATTGGGCATAGCTTGAAGGCTGGGCTCAAAGCGGGCCAGCAGAGGAGAGTGGAGAGTGACCTGCAGAGAAGACCCAGGGGACAGAGTGAGCACAGCAGGTATGGGCAGGGCCGGGTTACATTGGATAATAATTGCCAGGCTGGAGTGAGAAGGTAAAGCAGTGGAACTTACAAAGCAGAATTGGTATTCACGGGATCCTGGTTCTGTGACTTCCTTCCTGCCCACCCATCCCCAGTCCTTTCCTCCTTCCCAGTCTGCCACCCCCACCCCACTCCATGCTGGGCTGGAGTCACTTACAACATCTCCCTTGGCATCCTGCAGCCATGAGAAGCCAGACTCGGAGAACATCCCACCCAGCAAACATCACCACCAGCCACCCCACAACAGCCTCCCCAAGCCTGAGCCCGAGGCCAAGACTCGAGGGGAGGGTGACGGTCGAGGCTGTGAGAAGGCAGAGAGGAGGCCTGAGCGGCCTGAAGTCAAGAAAGAGCCTCTGGTGAAAGCCAATGGCATCCCAACTGGACCAGAGCCAGCCTCAGAGCCGGGCAGCCCTTACCCTGAGGGTCCAAGGGTGCCAGGGGGTGGGGGTGGGGAGCAGCCTGCTCAGGCCAATGGCTGGCAGTACAGCTCCCCAAGCCGGCCGGGGAGCACGGCTTTCCCACCTCAGGACGGAGAGAGTGGGGGACACCGGCGGAGCTTCCCGCCACGCGCCAACCCTGACAAAATTGCCCAGCGCAAGAGCTCCATGAACCAGCTCCAGCAGTGGGTGAACCTGCGCCGGGGGGTGCCCCCACCTGAAGACCTTCGGAGGTAAGTCCTGGCAGGGGCCAGTGCGAGAAGGTGTTACAGCTAGGGAGTGGGGACAGGAGCTCATGAGGCATCCCCCTGTTGGAAACATACGAGCCAGGCCGAGTTGGGAAACCGGGCAAATTCCATGATTCCCGGCTTGCCAGAGTCTCTTCCTGCCCCATGGCTTCATCCTTAGAGTCTGGCCGCTGCTTCTTGTCATCGCTCTGTCTACTTCCTTCAGAAGGAAAGAGTGCCCCAGTGCCTCTCTATGGGGGTGTTGGTTAGCCCAGAACCCTGCAGACTTAGTGAGGGGGCCTTGAAATTATTCTAGTCAGATATCTGTCCAGACCACAGTCCCTCCTACAGTATCCTCTGTTCTAGTGTTTCTCCCCACAAGAGACTCATTAACCCCCAAACCAATTCCATTTTGAATAGTTCTAATTGTTTTATTTTATTTATTTATTATTAATTTTTTTTTTTTGAGTGGGAGTTTCACTCTGTTGCCCAAGTTGGAGTGCAGTAGCATACTCATAGCCACCACAGCCTTGACCTTGTGGGCTCAGGTGATCTTTCCACCTAAGCCTTCCAAGTAGCTGGAACCATAGGTTCATGCCACCTTGCCCCGGCTAATTTTGTTTTGTTTTGTAGAGACGAGATCTTGCCAAGCTCCCCAGGCTGGTCTCGAACCCCTGGGCTCAGGCAATCTTCTCACCTCCATATCCCAAAGTGCTGGGATTACAGGCGTGAGACACCACACCCAGCAGCTTTAATTGTTGTAAAGGCATTATTTCTATAATGTTAAAACAAACACACATGCTTGGCATGATGGCTCAAGCCTGTAATCGCAGCACTTTGGGAGGTGGAGGCGAGAGGATTGCCTGAACTCAGGGGTTCGAGACCAGTCTGAGCAACATGGTGAGACCTCGTCTCTACAATAAATTAAAAAATCAACCGGGCATGGTGGCACATGCCTGTGGTTCCAGCTACTTTGGAAGGCTGAGGCGGAAGGATCACCTGAGCCCAAGCAGGTTCAGGTTGTGGTGGCCACGAGCGTGCCACAGTACTCCAGCCTGCGCGACAGAGTGAGACTCCAACTCAAAACACACATACATATGAAAACAAAGCGGCTCATTGGTTCTAACACTGCCCTCTATAACCATTCACTCCTTTAGCCAATGACTGACTAAAATATGTGGAGACACTTATTGGCCGGACGGTTGTTATTAGGGCAAGTGGATCCACAGGCTCCTCTGAAGATTTGGGCAGCTCCAGGGACTGTAGGCAACTGCCTCGGGGAAGCCGCAGGGCCTGGGAGGCGCCTGCCCTCTAGTGGCCTGAGCTGCCACTCACTGCTGGTGGTCTGGCGCCCGGGGAGAGAGCCTCACTTGGGATGAGTCCCGGGACGCCATGGGTCCGGTCCCTGACAAGGTCACACCCTCAGGAAGCCGCCCTTTTGTCCCTCCTGCGTCGCCCTCCTTCAGGTGCCTGGTAGACTTTCTTCTATTCGCCTCTCTTGGAAAGGAGCTGACAAATTGGCCTAACCTGAGCAGGAGATGGCTAACAAGGCTTCACGTTTCTTCCCGAGGCATTCCATTTTAAAGAGACCAAGATTGAAGGTCCGAATAGTAACATTTCTGGCCCAGGAGCTGGTGGAGGAAGGGAGCTTTGAGGACAGGAGTCTTTCTCTGACCTCTGGAATCAACCTCTGCCCCTGCCTGGGCTGTGGCTGCTCTGCGTGCTCACAAGGCCAGCCTGGGGCTTGGGTGGATGCGGGAAGGGTAACCGTGTTGTCTGCCTTCCTTACAGTGTCCCCCCACTGTCTTTCAGTCCCTCTAGGTTCTACCCTATGTCCCGCAGGGTTCCTGAGTATTATGGCCCCTACTCCTCTCAATACCCCGACGATTACCAATACTACCCACCAGGGGTGCGGCCGGACAGCATCTGCTCCATGCCCGCCTACGATCGGATCAGCCCACCCTGGGCCCTGGAGGACAAGCGCCACTCCTTCCGCAACGGGGGTGGCCCTGCCTACCAGCTGCGTGAGTGGAAGGAACCCACCAGCTACGGGCGGCAAGATGGCACCGTCTGGATCCCCAGCCCTTCCCGGCAGCCAGTCTACTATGACGAGCTGGATGCTGCCTCCAGCTCCCTGCGCCGCCTGTCCCTGCAGCCCCGGTCCCACTCCGTGCCCCGCTCGCCCAGCCAGGGATCCTACAGCCGCGCCCGCATTTACTCCCCAGTCCGCTCACCCAGTGCCCGATTTGAGCGGCTGCCACCTCGCAGTGAAGACATCTATGCTGACCCCGCTGCCTATGTGATGAGGCGATCCATCAGCTCCCCCAAGGTGAGCCACCAGCTTGCCCCTCCTTCCTCCTCATCCCCTGAGATCCCCAGAAACCTAAGACCACCGCGGAGGGCAGGTGGAGTCATGGGGGCATCTAGGACGTGGGGCCACTGGGCTGTTTGTCCAGTGATGCTGCCCAGGGGAGCCCCCCGGCCTGCGAATTTGTCCCCAGGAAAGCTGCCTCAGGGGATTGCATTGCTTTGCCTTCTAAGTAGGAACATTGTTCTTTGTGCTTGTCCCCAGGTTGTACCGGGAACCATGCTGTTGTATGTAAGAGAGCAGAGAGGGTTCTGTCTTTTCAAATCTTGAGGACCTAGACAGATTGTTGCAAGAGGGGGGCTTCTGTCCATTTTAGTATGAAAACTGCTTTGGGACTGAATATAAACACCCTAACCTTGCACTTCAGTTGGTGGGGAAGTCCATGTCCCAGCCAGCCCCCTCACCTATGCGATCCCTTTCTCTTCCAGTATGATTACCTGGGAGACAGGCGGCCAGTCCCTGCAGGACTGTTCCCCTACAACTACCCACCATCCCCCACGGTTCACGATAAGATGGTACGTCCTCTCTCCCCCCTCACCCCACTGCAGGACCTCCCCTCCCTGCTTCCACCAAGGGTGAAGCTGAACTGGGGCAGCCTCCAGGGGTGCTCTGTGCCCAATGCCCAACCCTTCCGGGTTTTAGTAGCCTCTGGATACCTCCTCCCTCCTGGCAAGGACTCTAGCCCCAGTACCGCTTGGTGCCAGTTACCCCTCTCCTCTGTGACACAGGATAGAGGAACAGGGATGAGATCTGGGAGCATGTAATATCTGGTCCATCTCTCCAGAATACAGGAGAAGGGACCTGGATAGGGGTCTCAGATTATGGACCGGGAAGAAAAATCAGGCTGGAGCCCCTAACAGCAAGCCAGATCTTCTAAACTTTTCCCTCTTAAGCATATTGGTTTCAATTTGTCCTTTTGCCTGGAATGCCACCTTTGGGGAAAGAGACAGGTGGTATGATTAAGGAAGAAAAGATTTTTCCATATTATGTCTCCTGCCTTCTTTCCTCTCCCTCTTCTACTGTGTCTCTCCCTGGAATTTGTTCTGAGAATTTTTGCCGCTGCCTGGAGAACTAGATGCAGATGCTCTACTTGGGAGGGTTGGGAAGGACCACTGGGACCAACAGGCAGAATCCTTGGCCCGAAAGCCTGTTGCTGACCTGTTTCCATAATGGCACCAGGAAGTTAGGGTGGAGGAGGCATGGACGGGCGTGGAGGGCAGCTGCTTTTACTCCTTTTCTGTCTGATTCTCACTGCCAAGTGTCAAAGCCTTGACCCCACAACAAATGCACCTATCCAGAAACAACCAGTTTTTCCAGAAATCTCAGAAACAGCTGCTAGAAGTGCTGCCTAAATTGCTTCCGGTGGTGCTCCCCTCTCCCAGGGAGGGCAAGGCAGACCTAGGAGAGATGATGTTGGGGCCTGGAGTGTGTCCCTCCTCTCCCCAGGAGTGTCCCATAGAGGGCTGCCCTGCCTGCCCTGTCCTGCCTGCCCGTGTCCCCAGCCGCCCCTTCCCAGAACTACTTAAGGGCAGTGAGAGAGAGGCCTCTCCTTGTCCTTGTGCAGCCAACTCTTAACTGCTTTGCTTCTTTTTTATTGTTTTCTTTTGTGTGTTCCTGTTTGTTTGTGTTGCTGTTTGGCCTCTTGGCCTCGGGCTCCGGGTAGGATGAACTTTTAGATCTTCAGTTGCAAAGAAACCTAGAGTATTTGGATCAGCAGGTAGGCAGAGCTGGTGCCCCCTTAACATCCCACCAACCCCCTGTCGCGTCTCCCCGCTCTTCCCCACCTCCTCATCCTCCCGCCATTTGACAACCTTTGTTGATGCAAGTAGGACACAACAAAGTGGCTTATGCTTTGGTTTGCCCCTTCACACCCCTTGTGGTCAAAGCCCGTTAGGACAGCTGGGAACTTCCTGGGGAAAGAAGCCTACAAAATGGGCACATGAATAATTAATGCTACCTCTTATTTCTCCAGTGTTTAGCCCAGATGGAGGTGCCCTCGGGGGCGGGGCAATTTGCATTTTGGCTGGTGAGAGGAGGGGAGTAACAGAGACAACTGTGGGCTGGGCTGGAACCTAAAGTGCTAAGGATTTAGTTCGGCCCGAATCTGGGAAATTTTCATATGGTATTCCATATCTTCATAATTTGTAAACCGAGGCCTACAGACCCCTCCCTAGGGTAATTGGAAACATCATATTAATTCAGTGTATTTGTTAGTTTTGCTGCAAAGTCCTTTTGCATGCACAGCTCATGCTTTCCTAAGAATTCAATGCAGTAGATGGGGGAATATTATCAACTCGACTTTCTAGGTAGGCAAGGAGAAGAGGCAGGTGAGCGGCTGCCTGGGCTTCCAGCTCTGGAGTTCTAACCCTTGGCTACTCTGACTTTTGGGCTAAGGGAGCTGTGATACTCACTGAGTTTAGACGGGCTGGGGGTCAACGTTCTGGACATTTATATGAGCACATACTCTTATGTTCACATCTGTGCCACAAACCACAGGGGACCTGAAAGTACACAGCGTTGTCCTGTGGAAGCAGCCTGGGATGGTAGAAATAATAACGATAGTAATAATAATAATAGCAATAATGACAGTAGCTACCATCATTGGGTGCGTCCTCCATACCTTGTACTATGCTAAGCATATTGCAGTTCCCCAACTCGTTTAATCTTCATAACAACCCTGTAAGGTGGGGACTGTTATCATCTCCATTTTACAGCTGAGGAAACTAAAGCATAGAGAGGTTAAATAACTTGCCAAAGACACACAGCCAGTGAATAGCAGAGCTTGGAATGTGACTCCAAGCTTTTGACCCAGTTTACAGCTGAGGAAACATCTAATAGGTGACAGAACTGCGGTCAGACAGCATTAGGATGATTTCATGCTCTTAAAGTTGCAGGAAAAAATCCATCAACTTGAAATAAGAGGCTGGAAGCTGCACTTCTTGGTTCTTCTAGTCACAAGTCATGTAGCCCATTTCACAGGACCTCGGCGTCACAATGCATTTATTCTCATAGAGGATCTCAGCTACAAAGAAGTGCCAGTAGCCACAGTTTAGTCAGCAGGGGCTGCTCCCAGCCATCAAGGACCTTGCATTCCAGTTCCAGTTCCGGAACCAGCCCATTGTGTCCACACCATGAACATTCTAGTCTGTGTGGGGACAAGTCGCAGAATGCCAACTCAGAGCAGGGCTGGGAAGCACAGGGTTCTCTTAGTAAGTGTCTGCTGCACCTTGGAGTGGTGGGGAGCAGGACTCAGTATCCTCCTGGGCAGGCTGTCCTCCCCGTGGCCCATGTGATTGTCTTTCTACTTCATTCACAATGCCTAACTATGTGAGCATTCAGTGCAGACAGCAAGGCTCCTTCCTGGGGGCTTCTGCCCTTACAGAAGGACTTGGCCGTTAGGTTGAGGCTTCAGAAATAACCTTCCAGAGGACCCCGTCCTGGATAAAGGCAGTCTAGGATGATGAGAAGCACCCAGAACATAGTCAGACATGGCCACTCTAGTTCCAGCTCTGCCATTTACAAGGATATTTTTTTCTTTTTTGGAAATGTTACTCTGTCTCTTCGGGTCTTCGCTTTCTCAGTCATAGCATTGAAGAACCTGCCCTTTCTTCCTCACAGACGTTGGAAAAATCACATGGGATTCATAAGAGAGCTCTTTGTCAGGCATTGGCAAGGGGTGGTGATTGCTATTATTATTTTATTGTTTTTCCAAAACTAAAAAATATCAACTGAGAAAGCACCTAACACAAGCCCTGGGTTAGGTGCTTTCTCTAACGTTTTGGAGTGACAGAGGTAGCACACAGGAATCCTCTGGAGGTAAGATCCACATCGGCTGAATGGTCCCCAAAGCTGCAGCCCAGGTGGGAGCAGGCAGGCGTGAGGACATCCCTGCTCTTTCTTATTTCTTATTGCTTTAAGTTCACTTTTGGGGGAAGAAATGAGATCAGCAGGTACCCAGGGAAAGCCCGGGCCTCATACACTCTTGAAGCCTGGTGTGTTGGGAGACCTGCCTTGTCTTCTGTACACTCATGTCACACACTCAACTCACAATCTGCACACACCGTGCATGGCCACCGGCATGACACACACACCCCCATTACACATATACCATACATGCACACCCCATACACAATGGACATAATGCACACATACACTCCATGAAGATAGAGACAGACTTGAGTTAGGATCCCTACAGAAAATGCTGATGTCGTGTTGACTGTTAACTCTTACAAAGACTCAGGCCTCATATTACAAGTGTTCTTTTGAAAGTCTTTTAAATCATACTTTATACCGCACACACACACAAAATTCCAACTGGGTAAAGAGGTAGAAAAATCAGATCCTAGAGAAGCCTTTAAAAATGTTGCAGACCCTACAAATGGAGTGATGGGTGACCTTGCCTGTCTACAGCACACAGGAGCAAGGCTGCACTTGGGCTGTTGCCTTAAAGGGGTGTGAGCAAGAAAAGACAGTGTGAGTCCAACTGAAGTTGAGGAGACACCGGAAAAAAACCATGAGGGATCCCCAGAAGATCTTCCCTAATGTGGCTCTTTCCTCCCTTCCCTCATTCACTTTCCCTCCTGAAAAGCTTTTCCTGGCCAACTCCCTCTGTCTTCTGCTGCCTTCCCCTAGAACAATGGAGTTAAAGGGACACGGCCAAGGGCATTCCCTGATAGCTTCACTTTGTGATCCTCTTACACTGGAACCAGTGGAGGAAATGACATTTCTGGTTGATTTGGTTGGTCTGCCCTCTCTCCCTCCCACCCTTCCATTCTCTTCCTCTTCCTCCCCTTCCTCTTCCCTTCCCTTCCCTCTCTTTAGTTCTCTCTTTTTTAATTGGCAAATAGTCTCTCCCCCTCAACGCTCCAAATGAGCCTTGACATATAGAGATAACGTGTTGGAGAACAGTGTCCCAACATCTGATGTTGTCCCTTTAACGCAGCTCGCTTGTTTTGGCCTCCTTGTTTGCTACCTAGCGTCACCCGAAATCATCATGGATGCTGCCAGCCCAGCTCTGGAAACCATGTTTAGCAATCCTTTCGACACTAGAGCTGAGGGGGACCAGGAGTCAGGGAAAGGGACCTGGGGCCTGCTTATTTGGGAAGGCCCATTCGGAGAGCTGGTCCCAGATTTTCTTTTTTAGTTCTTTCATTTAGTACAAATTTGGAAGTTCAGCCTTCCAACTGCCCGTGTGGTCTTTGTCCAAAGTGGTATGAGATGAGGTGGGGAACAAGGAAGTGATAACCGTGGCCAATGCAGAGGAGACCCACAACAGTCAGGCACCCCAGGGAAGAGTCACTGGGCCTCGAGCAAGGGCCCAGCAGCCTCCCGGCTCCCCTCTGTGGCCTTTCCACAAGGGCAGCTTCAGAGCTGGTCCTGAACCAGGGGTCACAGGTGGCGCGTGATGGTTGAGGCCAAGCACAGGGTGCTGGAGGCTGGAGAGGAGCCACTCTCTCCTGTTTCCTGGGTGCGGGGAGAGTCTTCTCCTGGGGTCTGAGTGTGAATCGTCCGTTCCTTCCTCTGCTGCAGATGAGTGAGAGCGAGACTCTCATCAGTATGGTGAACCGCATTGTGGAAAACTCCTCCCCCAGGGCCCAACTCTTCATGCAAGTAAGACCTCTGCCTGGCAGCATGGTCCCTGCCAACGCCATTTCAGCTGCTTGTGCATGGTCGAGTCACCCCCTCTGGGGTTGCGGCTCACTCCACCCAACTCGCTCATCTGCCAGGCCTCATCTCTCCTGGAGACAGGCTCGGCCTGGTCTCTGTCCCTTGAATCCACTCCGTCACCTTCATTCTTCACTTCCATGGATATACCAAAGGCCCATTTCCCAAACCATCAAAATAGTCAGCTCTAACATCTCATGCCAAGCTGAGGGTCGCATATCTGCTTTTTAATGCCCAGGACTTTTATTTCTTATTTGCTATCTTCTTGACAGACATTGTTGGGGTTAAGGGTATGAGGGGTGTGACATGGAACCATCCACTGTCAGAGGTGTATGGGATGTGCTGTGGTCACCAGAGGCGTCCTTGAGGCTAGGCAGCATTTGCTGGACCCAGAGACACGTTTGAATGCTCACCATTTTGGCTTTAGGCACAAGCCTCGTCACAGGCATTCAATCTACTCGGGAAATAGCTCTCAAGTGTGTCCAATGCTCATTCCTACCATTCTCCATACCGTCTCCACAAGCAGCCAAGGGGTTCACTGATGTTCTTGTGGTGGTTACCAAAAAGCCACCGGGAGCTCCATACCCCTGCTGCCTCTCTCAGGGGCAGATCCTAGAGCTTAGGGGAGAGGAAATACAGAGTTTGACTTGAGCAGAGTTCTGATCTCCCCAGGATCAACCCAGGACTACTGTGATGCAGTCTAGACCAGGCCCACTCAGGCTTCCCAGCCAGGGGATAGAGACTTAGCTCGAATCCCTGGAATGGAAGCCACCAGAGGTCATGGATGTGGTCCCTGGCAGGAGCGAGCAGGATTGTGGTGTCAGCTACCTACCCCTGCACACCCTCATCCCGCCCCTGCTGCAGTAACCCGTCTCCTGTTCCTGCAGGTCCCTCCATACCCAGAAGTGTTCCGGGACAGCATCCACACCTACAAGTTAAACGAGCAAGACACAGACGTAAGAGCAGCTCTCCCTGCACCCTCTGTCCAGCCAGCCTCCTCCTGCTGCCATCCTCATCCTTGTTCTCCGTCTGTCTCTCTCTCCTTCTGGTGCCTGCTCATACATTTGATTCCCTCTTCTCTCACAATGACAGCATTCTGCCTGCCTCACCCTCACCCCTCTTCTTTTCTCTGTCTTACCACCTACTCACCCTCACCTCCCTCGCTGGCTTGTGTGTTTCTCTGCTGAGCTCCCGGTCCTCTTGTGAACAGCAATGGGAAGTGCTTATAACAGGAATGCAGACTTTGGCAGGAGATAAATTAGTCAGTCTACTCTGTGCCCAGTGTGGCATTCGTCCCTACAGGTAACTAGAAAGAAAAGCGGGGCCCCGTCCCTGTCCCTGTCCTCAAGGTAGCGGTAGGGGGCAATGTAGGATTCCTGTGCTGAATGGGATCAATGATAGGTCCTGCAGGGTGCAGGGAAGTGTGGCCAAGGGGGCTGGCAGGTCAGGGACAAAGCAAGTAGCATGTGAGCCGGGCCTTGAAGTTCAAAGGCCCGGGATAAGATTTGGCTCAGCAGAAAGGAGAAAAGCAGGTATTTGAGGAATGGCATGAATAAAGGTGTGGGCAAGGAAAGCACAAATCTTTCCAGAAGTGAAGTCTGGCCCAACCTTCTGGCTCCCCATCCCCACCAGCCCTGCTTGCATAGTGGATCTGCCCAGCAGGCCCAGAAAAGTTTCCGTCCAGACAGGACCAGACCTCAGACGGACCCCCAGGTCAGCCATCCTGACACTTTGGAGGGAGGAGGGAAGAACTAGGTCTTGGAATGAGAGAGAAGAAGGAGGGTCCTGTGGGACTGAGGGGCCCATTTACATCGCTCACGGCTTTTCCTAAGACTGCCTGTTCCTACACCCTGCCTCCTCTCCAGTCCAGCCTAGGAGGTGAGGCACATTATCCCCTTAGCTTTTTGTGAATTGCAGCCCTCGGGAGGATGGAGTTGCGGGAGCTTAACTCTTGGCTCTTGGCCCTCTCAACTCGAACCACTGGCTCAGGGAATAAAAACATCTCCCTCCCAAGATGGAGGCCCATCTTCCTGTTCCCAGGAGCCAACAAGATCAAGGTGAAGGCCCAGGGTTCCTCAGCAGGGGAAAGGAACCGGTATCCAGAGGCCAGGCTCTGCCAACCCAATTCCCAGGTCCCCCTTAAACAGTGTCCTTCATTCCCTTCTTTCTCCCCCCTTCCCCTCCTCTCCCCTCTGGGCCTCCAGAAGCTGCTGGGCAAATTGTGTGAGCAGAACAAGGTGGTGAGAGAGCAGGACAGGCTGGTGCAGCAGCTCCGAGCTGAGAAGGTGAGAACCTGGGGGCAGCTTTAAGTTGGGGCAGATGGGTGGGGTTGGCCTGGAGAAGGTTGTGGGCTGCCGTCTCCATCCTGACTAAGCTGACAAAGCTCTGTCCTTCCTTAAATTTCTGTCCTGCCCTCAGACAGAGCTGCTGAAGCCCTTCCAGGAGGCTTAGCCAGTGTTAGGATAGCCTCCACTGAGCAGTCTGTTGAACCTCTAAGCGCTGGGCCCCAACTGTTCAAATCCCAGAGAGGTGCTGTCAGGGCAGCCCATGCCGTCCCCCTGCCTTTCTTCAGGAGAGCCTGGAAAGTGCCTTGATGGGGACCCACCAGGAGCTAGAGATGTTTGGAAGCCAGCCTGCCTACCCAGAGAAGCTGCTGCATAAGAAGGAATCGCTGCAGAACCAGCTCATCAACATCCGTGTGGAGCTGTCTCAGGCAACCACGGTAACACAGGAGTGGCGGGGGGTACCGTGCACTCGTTACCAGCAACACCAGGCGAGAGGGCCACCACCTCCCAGCATGTGCTGTCCTTGTCCAGGTTCTCCTGGAGGGCAAGAGCAGGGTGCCCCTGCCTGGGAAGAGCATAAACAAAGGCCTTAACACTACCCTGCAAATAGGCAGCAAGTATGCCAGTCTGCTCATTCTGCAATCTCCACCGAGGAAATGAGTTTACTTTCCACAAACGATACCTGTACTGGATTCATTCGGGACAGCGTGAAATTGAGGGTTACTTATTTCCTTGGCTGCTCTAACACCTCTGCTGCCTGCTTCTGTCTTCTCCCTCAGAGGGGCAGGACACTGGCAGAAAGCCTGCTACCCTGGTCGCTTCCCAGTGGGTCCAGGGCAGAGCCCCCAGGACAGACTGCTTGAAGAATGGTTCTAAGAAGCAGCAGCAGAAGCCCTAGGAAAGTGTGGCTCAGAAAGGAGGAAGGTCTCTAGCCTCCAGGGAACAAACGTCCTCCCTCAGGCGCATTCCTTTTTTCCCTCCACCCTTTACCCCCCAATCTGGGGAGAACAGGAGGGTATGAAAGGGATAGTATCCCTTTCTGCCTGTCCACATACCTCAAGAGGATTCGGTTTCCTCTTTATTTCGTTTTAGTGGGATGGGCCATTGTACTGCTTGTAAGGCTAGTGTTTGGCTGTCATCAGAATGTCCCAGCCTGGTGCCCCTCTTCTCCAGTCCCCCTATGCCCTCTTCCCTAGACCTCCAGGCCTCAGGTACCCTGGCCCCAAGCCCCATTGCAGGATAGGAGGAATGCTTTGGTGATGGTGGCTTTCTCAGTGAGTACTCCCTCCCCTGGCAGGCCCTGACAAACAGCACCATAGAGTATGAGAACCTTGAGTCCGAGGTCTCCGCCCTGCACGATGACCTCTGGGAGCAGCTCAATTTGGACATCCAGGTAAAGAGGGGGAGACCAGGTAAAGCAGGTGGGGGCTAGAATGTGTTCTGTGCCTTCCCTCATTCTCTTGGGCAAAAGAGACAATAGTGGCTTCCTTTCTTGCCTTGGCAACCTTAAGAGACTTAAGACGAGGAGTTGATCTGAGATAGGAGAAGAGGTACATGCCACTGGTAACAGACTCTAAGTCTCAGAATGAAGATACTGTGGGGTTCTCCGTTAGTTCCATCAACTCACAGGGGAAGGAGTTGAAGCTGAAGCTTGGGAGACTTTGGTTAGACACAAAGTATATTATGACAGAAAGGATTTAAAACATAGATATGTAAATATAAATGCCTCTCAGACGTCACAAGAGTAGGCAGTGCAGGAGCAGTCTACTTGGGAATTTTTAGATAGGAAAGAGGCTTTCCTTCCTGAGGTGGGATAGAAACAGTCTGTTTGGAGGCAGGAGGTGGACCTGATTATCTTGGGAGTTCTCATTCTTCCTTCCCTTTCTCTCTTCTCCACCCAGGCTGCCTCCTTTTAGCTAGTTTGCAAGCCCCATGTCTCTGATGCGGTTAACACCCTGGTTTCCTCCATTTTCTCCTTGCTTTCCTCCTGGTAACAAATCTCACCACCCCTGTCTTGCAGCTGGTTAGGCAGGGTGAAATGCAGACCCCTCTGATCCAGAGGACCCAAGTGCTACCATATTCCATGGTCAAGACTCACTGTAAGCACAGACATTTTAGGAGGTAGGATAGGGTTGTGGTCAAGTGCACCAGCATTTGAGTCACCCATATTTAGCTGGTAGTCACGTTGCTTGCTAAACAGATGGTCTTGGGCATAATTCTCTTCATCTCTGAAGTGCGGACAGCTGTTGCCCTTACCCGTGGAGTTGCCGTGCAGCTGAAATGAGTTAGCACTGTCTCTGCAAAGCACTTAGCACAGTGCCTGGTACTGAGGAACGCTACATAAACGGTGGCTATTATCTCTCAGAGTGAAAACTGTAACTGAATATAATTCACGGCTCTTTAGGCTTACGTTAGGCGTGGGAATTACAAAAGGATTTGAAGAAAGACAGTAACCTGGAAGTGTTTACCCCCATGGAAGACAGGCTACCACAAAGTATCCACTTAGAGGATGCACAGAAGGGTGGGTCTTTGTTCTTGGTTCTGAGACAACTCTGGGATGTGGTCTCATGAAGCTGAAGAGGCAGAGGTTGCCATTGAGAAAAATGGCTGCTGGATTAACAAAGATGACTGCTTGTGTGTGTGTGTGTGTGTACACGTGTGTGTGCACGTGCTCCCAAAGAGATGCAGGCTTGGGGGTCCAGGCCGAGGGGGAGGGCTGGGACACTCTTTGCAGCTGTTGCCTTTGACTCGCTGTGTGGCTGTTTCAGAATGAGGTGCTCAACCGGCAGATCCAAAAGGAGATCTGGAGAATCCAGGATGTGATGGAGGGGCTCAGGAAGAACAACCCCTCCCGAGGCACAGACACAGCCAAGCACAGAGGTGGGTGCCTCCTTCTCCAGACTCTGGGCTCTGGTATTTCTGGCCTCCACCCCACACCTGCTAACTCACACTGTGCTCAGAGCTAGTCAGGGCATTCTCAGGGCTCCAGAATCTTCTCCTGGGCTCTAGGATAGTAGGTAGGGCTCCCTTTTCCCCCACAGGGACCCAAGTAGACCACTCAGAGACACTGTTGACCCTGATATTCTAGATTCCTCCCCAGAAAAGGTCCAAGAGCATCTGAGGCTCCCCAGCCCACAAACACAAGGGTCCACTGGTGACCTCTGACTCCTACCTTAGTGTCTTCCTTGAGCATGAGGACCTCAGGCTGACTTTAACACCTTGGTGTCAACACTCATTTCCATCCATCATCTTTCCCTCCCCAGCACACTCTTACAGCCAGCCTGTGATCCCAGCACCTGTACTATGAGTCCCTTCAGCAGGTCCAGGCAGCCCTGAGACACTGACATCCCTCCCACATCCCTGGGTCTGGCTCTTCCCCAGTCTCCTACGCCCACAGTGTCCATCTACATGCCAGGCTACCCTCCTCCTCCATCTCTCACCTCTCTCCCCTTCTGTTTCCCCAGGGGGACTTGGCCCCACAGCCACCTACAGCTCCAACAGCCCAGCCAGCCCCCTCAGCTCTGCCAGCCTCACCAGCCCCCTGAGCCCCTTTTCACTTGTGTCAGGCTCTCAGGGGTCCCCCACCAAGCCTGGATCCAATGAGGTAAGATGAGAAATGGAGTAAAAGGTAGGTGGGGGAGGGAGGACAAGGTCCTCAATTGCCTGAAACTACACGAATTCTGTGCCCGTCTCTCTACAGAGGTCTCCAGCCCTAGTGCTTGGGCTCTTTGTCCAAGGGGGTCATTCTCACACCCAGTTTTGTGACCTTCCCTCCAGATTTCCCCTTTACCTGTTCTCTCTAAGTCTCTTCCTGAGCTCTAGGATGGATGAATAGCAGACAGCATATGCTTAATAGGAATTTAAATCCAGGATTGTACCAGGAATGTGGGGGGTGGGAGTCAGTGGGGGGGGAGTTTAGGGTCAGTGTGGGGAATAGTTTCCTAATCAATCAGCGGTGTTTACTTGGGCCCTGTTGTGAGCAAAGGGTGCTGGGAGGCCCTCTCAGAAAGATATGTATGCATATCACAAGGGTTTCATTCAAGGGACCCCGGCCTCAGATTCATAGGAACATGACAGTGTGTGTCTCAGCATTGAGCCACATGGCTCAGACCGTAAATGCTCTGATGCTCCAAAAGACTGGGGATCCAAAGGAGGGTAAAACTTAAACTGGGCCACAATGCATCTAGACAGGGAAAGGAAGCAGGGAAAGGCGGGAGAGATAGTGGGAGCAAAGGCATGGAGGGGAATGTGCCCAGCAAGACAGTGAGGCAATGATGAGAGTGCTTCAGAGCAGAACTGGGGAGCAGTGGGGGCGTCGTGGACAAGCGGGACCCCATAGAGGAGGGTCTTGATGGTAAGCAGACAGAGCGCTCTGGAGCTGGCAATCTCTCCAGACCAGGGGTGGGAGTTTGGTGGCCCCAGGAGCCCACCCACATTTCCCAGGATGATGTTGTCTGCCTCCTGCTAATGCTCTTTTCTCCTGCTCTCACAGTGGCTGTTCTTGTTCCTCCTAACACTCTGGCTTCTCTCTGCCTCAGGAACCTGGCCCGCCTCGGCCTCCCCTCCCCAAAGCCTACGTCCCCCTGGAGTCTCCTCCCACCGTCCCTCCACTCCCTAGTGAGAGCCGCTTCTGGCCATACCCCAACTCCCCTTCCTGGCACCGCAGTGGCGAGACAGCCAGGGGTCAGGTACCCAGCACCCTTGGGTCCTGGAGGGTGGGGGCAGGGGAGAATGGGCAAAGGGCCAGGTGAAGGGGACAAGGCAGAGCACCGGAGTCATTTTCCCTGTTAATTTTCCCAAAGCTCTATTTCTACCGGGCCCCCTGCCCAGCTGGGCTCTAGAATAAGGAAAGTATGGTTGAGGCAGTCACACAGGTTGTCTTCCTCCTCTTTTCTTTCTGTGGGCGATGGAGAAATTAATTACTACCCTACATCACCCTTGGGCTCACAGCAGCTGATGGTTGTGGGTGCTGGTATTATGCCCCACTCCCCACCAACGTGACCAGTGTTAATTGAGGGACACCCCTCCCGCGCTAGGATTCTAGTCCCTTCCTGACACTTGCCCACCCCAGGTCCCAGTCCTCCCAAGCTCCCTCTCTCTGCCTCTGCCTGTCTTGAGCTCTCTTTGGGTCTCATGAGCCCCTGGAGTGTAAAGATACAGGACCTTTCTTCCTTGGTTCTGGCTCATTCTCTCACATGGATCTCTAGCCAGGATCCAGGAAATATGGGATTAGGCTTGGAAGGGGTTGTGTAGTGAGGAGAAAGAGTTCTGTGCCTAAAATTGGAAAGCGCATATGCTCATCTAGGCTCAGCTGTGTAGAATTTACATAACCCTTGGGGGTTCATCTGGTGAGGTGAGCAGAGCAGGTAATATTACCTGTGTTTGACAGGCGAAGAGAAGGCATGGGATGTACTCATGCTCTCTGGTTGGACTAGAACCAAAGTTTCTGACCCCTAGCCTGATCTGTCTGCATTCTCTCTCTGAAACTGAGCCTCTTCAACCGTATCGTGGGAGAAGGTGGCTCAGATGATGCCCGAGGTCTCTAGTCCCATGATTCTCTCAACCCACAAGCTTAGTGCCCTTTTCATTCCCCTAGAATCCTGGCACCAAGGCCCACCTGGTTCTGTTTGCTCAAGTCTCAGGTGGGATCCCTACAGAATCTTCAGAGACCCTTCTCCAGCTGTTCCTTGACTCTGGCTCACAGCTAGCCTGTGCTTCTTAGTGCTTGCCAAGACAGCAGGTCAGGTTAAAGAACCTTTCCGATGGGCCTTAACTAGAGCCCTCCTGGAGGCCCTGTGTTCTCATGCCCCAGTATGGCCCAGCATTGACCAGCCTTAAGGGGTATGAGTGGAGGCCCTGCCCGCTTCCCAGGGAACACACATAAAATTTCCTTGTTCCCTGTGTCTTCAAGGGTTTAAACTTCAACCATGGCAAAACAAGGAAACATCACTGGGGGCCACATTCCCGGCAGCCATGCTAGCGTCAACCGTCTTCTCATCCTTTCTTCCTAGCCCAAGTCGAGCTATGAGCAAAGCAAGAAAGATCCCCAGCAAACATCACCCCGGGACACTCCCAGAGACATCAGCCTTGTGCCTACCAGGCAAGAGGTAGAAGCGGAGAAGCAGGCAGCTCTCAACAAAGGTACTTTCTAACCCATCTTCCCCTAGAAGTAGGGCTAGGGGCTGGTCAGACAGGAGCCCCAGGTGCTCATTCACACCCAAAGAGAGTACCTACCCTGGGCCTTTAATCTTGATGGAGAGTGGGACTGATCCTCTCTCTGAGAAGCAGGTCTCCTGCCTTCCAGCTCTCTGTGAGGCTCACCGGCTACTCTGTCTTCCTGCAGTTGGCGTCGTGCCCCCTCGGACAAAGTCACCCGCTGATGAAGAGGTGACTCCGTCAGCAGTGGTGAGGAGGAGTACCAGTGGGCTCCCCAACGGCCTCTCCTCCCAGGTGAGTACATCCCCGCAGGACCTGAGAGTTTGTGTGGACTCAAGCTGGGCTGCAAGCCCAGGGACCTATGTGTGTGTCTCCATCTGCCCCTGCTGTCCAAGAAACTCAGGGCTGGGGGGAGAACAAGCAGGAGGAGGGGCTTCAGCCCCACTGGAGGAAGACTTCTCCTTTACGGAGACATCAAGGGACAGAAAGATATGTGTAAAACATATAAAAGAATGTTTAGCAAGATTATCATAACGTACTACCGATGTGATACATTGGAAAGGAAGCAGCAAAAATCGGCGTTCAGAGTCAAAAGTGCTGACCTGAGCCAGGGCTGCCAGTAGTAAACAAATTACCACAAACTGGGGGGGCTTAAAACAAAGAAATATCTTCTCTCACAGTTGTGGAGGTCAGAAACTGGAAACCACGGTGTCATCAGGGTTGGTTCCTCTGGAGATTCTGAGGGAGAATCTGTTTTAAACCTTTCTCCTGGCTCATAATGGCTCCCAGCAGTCCTTGGCATTCCCCGCTTGTATAGAGGCATCACTCAAGTCTCGACCTCCATCCTCAATCACCTTCATTTCTGTGGGTCTGCTCTTGTTCTCTCTCTTGTCAGGACACCATCATTGCATTTAGGGCTCACCCTAATTTAGGATTATCTCATCTTGAGATTCCTAATTACATCTGCTGAGAGCTGTTTCCAAATAAGGTTATAGTCACAAGTGCTGGGATTAGGACTTGATATATCTTTTGGGAGCTACCATTCAACAACTACAGTCCACTCTTTTGCCCCCCAATTTTATGTCCATTCCACTTGCACATGCATTCACCACATAGCAACATTCCCCAAAGTCTCAATCCATGATAGCAGTAATTCTAAGTCTAAAATGCCATTGAAATATCATCAGCTCAAAAGTCCCAAATCTCATCATGTGAGCCATCTTCATCAGGTATTCATGAACTCTAGACACAATCCTTTTGGGGGCACAATTCCTCTCCACCTATAAAACTAGAAAAGAGGCCGGGCTTGGTGGCTCAGCCTGTAATCCCAGCATTTTGGGAGGCCAAAGCAAGTGGATTTCTGAGACTGCGGGTTCGAGGCCAGCCTGGGCAACTTGGCAAGACCTCATCTCTACAACAGATCAAAAATTATCCGGGCGTGGTAGCGCGCGCCTATAGTTCTGGCTACTTGGAAGACTGAGGCAGAAGGATCAATGCCCAGCAGGTCAATGCTAGGGTGGTTGTTAGTAAGCCACTGCACTTCAGCCTGGGCAATGAAGGGAGATTCCAACTCAAAAACAAACAAACAAAAACAGAAAATAAATTACTCTGCTTCTAAAATACAGTGGCAGGACAGGCATAAGTAAGTCATTTCTTTCCCCCAAAAAGGAGAAATTGCAAGGAATAAGGAGGTCACCAGTCCCAAGCAAGTCTGAAATCCAGCAGGGAAAATTTCATTAGGTTTCCAGGCCTGAGAATAATCCTCTGTGGCTCCCTTTCCTCCTCCCATCTTCCTTCCTCCTGGGACCACAGAGGCTCCATCAGCCCCTGCTTCTAGGACTGCCTCTCTGGCCTCTGCCTCTGCATCCGTGGCTTCGCTGTCAGAGTCCTTCCTATTTCTTGAAAGTTAGCACATATTTGTAGCTGAGTCACTTTATTAGCCTATTACCTGCCTCAAAAGTCTGACAGCTTTTTTTCCCTTCATTTCGTCTTGTTCCTGTCCCTTTCAGTACAAGCTGATAGTGTTTTTGCTGTCTCGAAAGCTCTATAAGTCTCCTTTCTATCTCAAGGGATCCATACCATTAGAAGAGCCTCTGCAGATCCTTCCTGGACAACTCCATCTCTATTTCTGGCTTCTTCCAAGATGGTCTATTGGATCCCTGGGTCACAAATGTAATCTCTTCAGCAAGATGTTGTCCAGGGCTTTCGCAATCATGAATTTCCTCATCTATGCATCCTTTGTGAACTGGGTAGTCTGAGAACCTTCCAAATGATCAAATGCTGGTTTCTTTTGACTTAACAGTTCCTTCTTCTTTTTGTCTCTTTCCTCTCGCATTTTACTATAAGTGTGAAGAGAAACCAAGCCACACCTTCGACACTTTGCTTGGAAATCTCCTCGGCCAAATATCCAAGTTCATCACTGCTTTCAAGTTCTCCTTTCCATTCAACAACAGAACAAAATTCAGACATTGCTGTCACTTTAAAACAAAGATGACCTTTCTTCCACTTTCCAACAACATGTTTCTCATTTTCCTCTGAGACCTCACCAGAAGTACCTTTGACATTTATACTTCTACCAACATTCCATTCATGATGATATTTATATAGCCAGCCCTCTGGGCGTGGGCTCTGCGTCCATGGATCCAACCACCACTTAGCAACCAATAATTAACAACTGTTTACATAGTGTTTACATTGTATTTGTATTAGAAGCAATCTTGAGAAGATTTAAAGTATATGGGAGGATGTGCATAGGTTACATGCAAATACTACTTCATTTTATATCTGGGACTAGAGCATTCATGGATTTTGGTATTCATGGAGGTCCTGGGACTAATACTCTATGGGTATTTCTCTTCTATGCTGTTATTTTATTTTATTTTTTTGAGTTGGGGGGCTCACTCTGTCGCTTAGGCTGGAGTGCATTGGCATAATCATGCTGATCACAGCTCACAGCAGCCTCGACCTCCTGGTCTCAAGCGATCCTTCCACCTCAACCTCTCAAGTAACTGGGACTACAGGCACACACCCCCAACCTGGTTAATTTTTTTTTTTAATTGTAGAGACAAGGTTTTACAATGTTGCCCAGGTTAGTCTTGAACTCCTGGGCTCAAGCAGTCCTCTCGCCTCGACCTCCCAATGTGTTGGGATTACAGGCGTGAGCCACTATGCCTGGCCCAGAATCATCTTTAAAGTTCATATTTCTGCTGATCATCTCTTCAAGGAAATCTAGGCTTTTTCTATCATGTCCCTCAAAATTCCTCCAGCCTTTACCCATCACCCAATTCCAAAGTCTCTACCACATTTTTTGGTACTTGTTATTATAGTGCCTCACTTTCTTGTACCAAAGCCTGTATTTGTTTCCTAGGGCTCCAATAACAAATTACCACATACTGGTGGCTTAAGACAATAGAAATGTATGTTCTTATAGTTGTGGAGGCCAGATGTCCAAAATCAAGGCATTGGCAGGGTTGGTTCCTTCTGAAGACTTGGAAAGAAAAATCTGTTTCGTGCTTCTCTCCTAGCATGTGGTTACTGCTGGCAATCCTTGACATTGCTTTCTGAGCAGATGAATCCCTCTAATCTCCACCTGTCTTCACATCACCTTCTATTCTGTGTGTCGTCTTCTTTTGTGTCTCTTACAAGGACCCCTGTTAATGGATTTAGGGCCCACACTAACACAGGATGATCTCATATTTCCAAATAAAGTTCCATTCACAGGTTCCAGGGGTTGAGATTTGAACATCTCTTTTGGGGGCCACTATTGAACCCTCTGCAGGTAGACTTCCCACAGAAGGTCGTCAATATTTAAGGGCTTAGAATGAATGAACAAGCTGAGTGGGAGGTGAGGCATGGTCACAACCTGTTTTCCCACCGTGGCAGGAACGCCCCAAGAGTGCTGTGTTCCCTGGCGAGGGGAAGGTCAAGATGAGCGTGGAGGAGCAGATTGACCGAATGCGACGACACCAGAGTGGCTCCATGAAGGAGAAGCGGAGGAGCTTACAGCTCCCAGCCAGCCCTGCCCCCGACCCCAGCCCCCGGCCTGCCTACAAAGTGGTAATGTCTTCCCAGCCACCCTCAGGCAGGAGCCCTGCATCTGCCAACACTGCCCACTCCCAGGGCATGGCCAGTCTGAGCTAGGAAGATTTGAAAGGAAGGAGAGTAGAAAGAACCCTAGCTGGGGACCTGGGAGGACTATGGAAGCTTCTCCCCTCTGGGCGGAAGAGTTACTTTAAGTGTTTCCTTTTTCTCATTTAAAGAAAATAGCTCACAGCCAGGCTCGGTGGCTCAGCCTATAATCCCGGGCCTTTGGGAGGCTGAGGTGAGTTGATTGCCTAAGCCCGCGGGTTCGAGACCCACCTGGGCAACTTGGCGAGACCTCATCTCTACAGTAAATCAAAAATTAGTCGGGCGTGGTAGTGCGTGCCTATAGTTCTGGCTGCTTGGAAGGCTGAAGCGGAAGGATCGCCAAAGCCCAGCAGGTCAAGGCTGCGGTGGCCGGGAGCAGCCACTGCACTCCAGTCTGGGCGACAGAGTGAGACTCCAACTCAAAAAAAAGAAAAAAGAAAAGGAAATAGCTCACAAAAAGGAATGCATTACACCAGGCACATAGCTCACAACTGTAATCCCAGCACTTTGGGAGGCAGAGACAAGAGAATTGTCTGAGCCCAGGAGTTTGAGACCAGCCTGGGCCATTTGTCAAGACCTCATCTCTACAATAAACCAAAAAATTAGCTGGTTGTGGTGGCGTGTGCGTGTCTACTTGGAAGACTGAGACAGAAGGATCACCTGAGCCCAGTAGGTCAAGGCTGTGATCACTGTGAGCATATCACTACACTCCAGCCTAGATGAGCATGAGACTCTGACTTAAACAAACAAAACAAACAAACAAAAGGAATGCCTTGGTTATTTTTGTTGAAATTAATTATACAAAATTCAGCTAATAAAGAACAGTACAAAATTCACCACACAGAAATAGTCATCACTTATACATGTTTCTAGAGCATCTCCTATGTGCTTTTCACAGGGCTAGCTGTTAGGATAGCTTACCATTGCATGGTGCAATATGGTTCCCAGATCTCTTTCATGTTATTTTTTCCCCCATCTTTGTTTTAGATTCAGAGGGTACACAGACATGTTCATTACATGGACATATTGTGTAGTGGTGGAGATTGGGTCTCAGGTGGTCCATTCCCCAGGCAGTGAACATTTTACCCCAGAGTTTACTTCTGAACCCTAGCCCCCTTCCCTACCTCACCCCTTATTGGTGCCCCCAATGTTTATTATTTACATCTTTGTGACCATTTAGCTCCTGCATCTCAGTGAGAACATGGGTGGAGTTTGGGTTTCTGTTCTGAGTCAGTTCACTTAGGGTGATGATCTCCAGCTCCGTCCATATTGCTGCAAATGACATGATTTTGTTCTTTTTTAATGACTGTGCAGTATCCCATGGTGTATACATACTGAATTTTCTTTGGCCATTCCATTATTGGTGGGCACTTAAGTTGGTTCCATGCCTTGCATGTTGTTTAATCCTCAACAACACTGGGTTAGGAATTGTTATCCCTACTTTGCAGATGGAGAAACAAAGTGAAGAGAAATAGAGGGTTTTTTGGGCCACGCACCTATGAAGTGCAAAGTTAGGAGGAGCCCAAGACATCTACTTAGTTTTTCTTCCACTAAGTTTTAGAAATACCGTAAAATTATGACTCGTAAGTCCTGCCCTCAGTTTGCTTTCTAGCTCAGGGATTGGAATTTCCATAATATGGAATCAGTAAAAATCAGTGCGAGACAAGACAGACTAATTCAACTTCCCAAAATATATAGCACAGAATGTGAGGGCAGAGCAGGTTGGGGAACAGCAAGTATTGACAAGAGATACTGATGAGATTTTACCTGCAGGCCTTGCAGGTGGGCAGGCCTTGCAGGTGGGCAGGCCTCGGGTCAGCTGAGTAGAAGGAGGATAGTTCTGCTGGGGGGTTGCAGTGAGAGCGATGGGGTGGCAGGGTGTGCTAGGCAGAGAGGGTAAGGACATGGGCATGGTTAGAGCTCCTGGAGGCATAGGTAGCAGTGGGGTGGTCATGACAGTGCTGTCCCTCAGGTGCGCCGCCACCGTAGCATCCATGAGGTGGACATCTCCAACCTGGAGGCAGCCCTGCGGGCAGAGGAGCCTGGTGGGCAGGCCTATGAGACACCCCGGGAGGAAATTGCCCGGCTTCGCAAAATGGAGCTGGAGCCGCAGCACTATGACGTGGACATCAATAAGGAGGTGAGCGGAGTCCTGAAAGGGCTGCAAGAGGAGGCCCCGGGAGGGGACATAGGTGGTGACCTCAGTCCCTTCACAGCTCTCCACCCCAGACAAAGTCCTCATCCCCGAACGGTACATTGACCTGGAGCCCGACACTCCGCTGAGCCCCGAGGAGTTGAAAGAGAAGCAGAAGAAGGTGGAGAGGATCAAGACACTCATTGCCAAATCCAGGTAACAGACATGGGTGAGCCTCCACTTCTGCTGCCCACCCTGGCACCTAGGACACCTGGGCCACTAGATGCCATTGGGAGCCCAGAGCCTCCCCAGGGGAGAGCACGTGGAGGCAGTGGCTTGAGGCAGCCGGCAGGGCCCAGGCATTGGCAGGGGCGAGGATGCTGCTGTTGGGTGCAAAAAGATCTGCTGGTCTCACACGCATCATATCATCAAGACAAAGCTGAAGGGTTGCCCTCTGGTGACTTATTTTCCCCTTCAAGGCTGCCCTAAATGTGCACTTGAACCTTTGAATTAATCTGAAAACTTGGAGGGGAGGGGTGCCCCCCTGTGTTTTGCCAGGGTCCCACTCACTCCTAGGGACAGCCTTGCCGGGAACCAGAGACTGCACACTCAGGCCCCTGGCCCTTCCCGCCAACCACAGTCCACAGGCCCCCCCCAAGCCAATTGGACCATCCTGTCCCTCCCTCCATGTCTGTGTGTCTGTGCCTCTTCAGTATGCAGAACGTGGTGCCCGTCGGCGAGGGGGACTCTGTGGACGTGCCCCAGGACTCAGAGAGCCAGCTGCAGGAGCAGGAGAAGCGGATTGAAATCTCCTGCGCCCTGGCGACCGAGGCCTCCCGCAGGGGCCGCATGCTGTCTGGTGAGAGGGGCTGGGCCTTGCTCTGCCCTGCCAGGGAAACCAGCTGACCAGGTGTAGGGGAGGAAGCGCAGCACCGCTGCCAGGGGGCAGGGACAGAGAGATAGAGGCCAAGAACAAGAACATGCTCCTTGAGGCAAGTATTTATTGAGCACCAGGTACTGTGCTAGGGTCAGGAAGGTGCCAAGGGACCAGAGTTGCTGACATCCTGGAGCACAGAGCCTCAGTGATCCTTACAGCCACTTTAAGGAGGAATGGCTGGAGGCCAGACGAACACAGACAGCCATTCTGCCTGGGCAGGTCAGGGAAAGGCACAGAGAAAAGGCGACAATTGAGCTTGACTGAGAAAGATAAAAGTGTTTCCCAATTGCAGAGAAGAGGGCCGGGTATTTCAAGGTATCCTTTCCTTTTCCAGTCTTGCTACATGCGAGTAAGAAAGAATAGAAGAAAAAATGGTGCCGGCAGCCAAAGAGCTGAGAGTAATACAGTGACCATCTTGGCTACTGACCCAAACCCACTTTTTTGCTAAGAAAAGGTGACTGTGAGGGACCAATTTCATGCTGATACGAAGGCTAGTAGGTCGTGAGCAGATGCTGATAGGGTTGAGGTCAACAGAATTAACTTCTACTCAGCCTGAGATCTCATCCCAGAATAGAGGAGAATGAAGTTGAACTTTGAAGAATGAAGGAGATTCTGTATGAATGGAAGGGTTAAAGGTAGAGAAAGAGAATGGGTAAGTCCCGGAGCCTGGGAGACTGTCCTCATCAGACAAAAGTGGTTAGGAGGGAGGAGAGGTAGAGTGAGCGTCAGAGCTTTGCAGCCTACAGCCTAGAGGAATGACCCAGAATGGAGAGCCACAGTTTGAGATGACTTTGGCAGAGGAGAGACCGCGTGTACAGGCCACAGTTACAGTAGCCCAGGCAAGAGTCAGACGACGAGGAGTGAAGAACTGTGGTTGGAACACAATGGAAGGGATGGCATTTCATGCTGGTGATTGAAGAGGGTTCCGGTTCTGGTGCTCTGAGGCTCCATTTCCTCATCTGTAAGATTCAAATCAAAATACTTAGACCAGCACAGTGGCTCATGCCTGTAATCCCAGTGCTTTGGCAGGCCAAGGTGGGAGGATTGCTTGGGCCCAGGAGTTCAAGATTAACCTGTGCGACATAGTGAGACCCCATCTCTACATTAAAACAAAAAGTTAACTGGGCATGGTGGCGTACCTATAGTTCCAGCTACTTGGGTGGCTTAAACCCAAGAAGTGAGCCAAAACTGGGCCACTGTGCTCCAGCCAGGGTGACAGAGCTAGACCTGTCTCGGAAAACAAACAAACCCAAAAAACTGCTTCCAGTTCTGATGGTGTAAGGATGGGAAACAATGTGTGCCAAGCACCTAGCACAGTGCCTGGCATTCAGTACGTGCTCAATACATACTGTAGTGGTGATGATAGTAGCAATAGTGTTGTGATGCTGGTAGTAGTAGTTTAAATAGCTCTCGCTGAAATGGAAATAGAAACCATTTTGTTGTTTTTTCTAATTATTTTAAATATGGATATTTTCAGAGACCAGAAGATTTTAGTCTACAGCCAAGAAGATTTAAGTGAGCCTTAATGAAGAAACTACTGACAATTAGGTTATAATAGGGAATCGTGGACTTTAGTATGGGTGGCCAGGGACAGCCCTGGTGGTATTTTAGGGAGAGGCTGTCATTGGGGCTGGAGTTGAGGGGAAGAAAAGGGATGGCTTCAGAGAGCTCCATCCTGCAGCCAAAAGGCAGAAGAACCAGTATGGCCATAAGGAAGGAGGCCTCTGGTGAACCTCCCTGTAGTTTAGCTGCAAAATGAGCTTGAACCTTCCAAAGATCAAATTCCACATGGTCTGGGCAAAAGGCAACTTCCTGTTTCACGGGGTTAGAGCGAGGAAGCTGTTTTAAAAACTCTGCTTCAGCCCCAGCCTCAGCCCCTGGCTGTCTCTACTGCAGTTCCCCAGCCAAAGGTTCCATGAAAACAAAACCCACCCGGCCTATCCGATTTCCCTCTCGATACGCATGGGTTTACGTTTCAGAGTCTGTGTGCTGAAAGAAGCAGTCACCTTGCTTTTGCCAAAACCCCAACTATTTAAAAAATGGCTGTGGCAGGGCCAGACCTCAGACTTAGCCCACTGTCCCCACCGCCCCTAGCCTATGGCCCAGATCCCCAGAACTGCAGCTCTACCAGGCACAACAAGGCTGATCCCGTCACATGTAGTGCGGGCATAGTTCACGCCCGTGACACTCTGTGTGTGGGAGTCTGGGCACAGGTCATGAGGGCAGTGTGCAGCGGGTGTGGGATATAGAGTGAAGTGCTTGCATGTGGATGTGTGGCATGGATAGAGTAATCAGTGAGGACTATTGTAATATTTGCAAATCTACCCGGTATGTACAGACTTATATGTATGTAGTGTGTGGGAAGATGTGGCGTTTTTAAATTTGTATGTGTGGTGTAAAAAGCACGTGCAGTGTCTGTGTTTTGTAATGTTTGTAGATACACGTATGTTTATTTGTGTATACGAGGGTGGACCCAAAACAACCCAGAATTATCTTTTGGAGAGTGGTCGCCTTGCAGTATAGGCTTCCCCCACTAGGTGCATGTTCTAGGAACCCATTGGCATCAGTGTACCAGCTAGCATTGTTGTGAGAGGCTGCATTGCATAAGAAACATCCCAAGCTGTGGCAAAGAAGTGACCAGTTCTTTCACTGTGATGAGGTACCCGCCCATACCGCACTGAGTGTTCAGCAGTTCTTGACCAAAACTGGCATGACCTCCCGGCCCCACCATCCCTATTCACCCAATTTCACCCTGAGCAACTTTGTTTCCCGAATGAAAAAAGTCCTCGAAGGGAAATGTTTCACCAATGTGGGAGAGGTCAAACAAACAAACAAAAGATGGCGGAAGCACTAAAAGGCATCAAAATTGACGAATGCAAAAACCGTTTTGAGCAGTGGGAAAAAAACGTTTCAATAGGTATATTGCATTAAGCGGAGATTACTTTGAAGGTGACTGAAGTTCAAACATGTCAAAATAAATACACAATTTTTTTTAAAATGTTGTTATTTTTTTGAGTCAGAGTCTCACTCTGTTGCCCAGACTGGAGTGCAATGGCCGCTCCCGGCCACCGCAGCCTCAACCCGCTGGGCTCCAGCGATCCTTCCACCTCAGCCTTCCGAGTAGCTGGAACTACAGGCGCGCGCTACCATGCCCAGCTGATTTTTTTATTTTATTGTAGTGATGAGGTCTCGCCAAGTTGCCCAGGCGGGTCTCGAACCTGCGAGCTCAGGTAATCCACTCAGCCTCCCAAAGTGCAGGATTGCAGGCTGAGCCACCGAGCCCGGCAATACACAATTTTTAAAAAAAAATTTTTACTTTTAATATGTGGAGTACAATTCAGGCTTAGGTATACAAATGTTCATTATGCAGGTATCCTTGTTGATGAGATGTGCCCCCCGGCAGTTTCCCACTACTGCCGATCCCACCTCCACCTTCCCCTGGCAGTTTTCCACTACTGCCAATTCCTTTCTTATAGAAATACACAATTTTTAATGAATAAACTCCAGATATTTTGGGGTCCCCCCTTATATTACAGCGTGGGGGTGAAGGAAAGGTCTGAGTGCAAATGTAGGAATATGTACACGCGTGTGCATGTATGGGTAAAATGTCTAAGGGTATTGTGTGGACACCCATTATGTGTGTGTCCAGGTGGTTTTGGTAAGCTGTTGGAGTGTAGATGTGGCTGAATGTGAGTGTGCAATGTATGGATGAAAGCAGTGTCCATGAATGCACATACTTATGTTTGCTTGCTTTTATGTGTGATTGGCTCTTTTGGCAGTATGGGGAATGATAAGGCATATATGAATACATAGGTTGTATCAGTGTGTATATTTCAATATGTGAACACAGGTCTTTGTGTGCAGGATGGGAGAAAGCACAGTGTCACAAATGTATGTGTGACTGATGATTTCTGCATGCAGGTGGGGTGGTACTTCTGACCATAAACGTGATAACATCACATCTGCTGCCTATGTGAATCTTAACTATTTTGGTAGATACATTTCTAATATATTTGGTATTTTTCTGCCTTCTTAAAGAGGTTCTGTTTGCATAATTAACTTTTCTCTCTCATTTAGTATCATTATAAATATCCTTGTTTTGCAGACCTCATTAAAGGGACATCCTTAAGGGGCTACAATGGATATAGATCTGTTTGTACCTTTGCTAAATGTTCCCAAACTATCACGCTTTTATAGTTATTATGTCTACTTTTTACAAAACATTTTCTCTCTTCAGGTGCTGTCTTAAAGATGTCAGTGGGCCTCTCAATTCTTCTCTCTCTCTCTCTCTCTCTCTCTCTCCTGATTTTCCCATTTCTAATTTCCTTTGGGCTAGAAAACCCAGCAAGTCAGAATCGTGTATAAATGAGTGTATAAAATTGTGTATAAATAAGACTGACCTGACTCACAGGGGCTCCCCTATGAGTAAATTATAAAAGCCTCACTTCATGTTGATTTTAACATCTTGTTTGACTTCTTGAGATATGTTTTGCTTTGGTTTTTTTGTTTATTTGTTTGTTTGTTTTACTCTATTAGAAGTTGATGTTTCCAGATAACTAACCATTGGGCCAGGGTTGTGGATATGTACATGAATGTGTGTTTGAAAGCATTTATGAATGTATTTGCATGTGAAGTTACAAGTGTGTTGGGTCACATGGAAGGGCAGAGGCTTGGAAGGGCAGAATCACACACATCTGAACTGTGTGCAATGAGTGTAATGATATGTTGCTGGACCCCATGTACAAAGTAGGTATTGTGTGTAGGCAGACACAACTTCCCATCCATGCAAGAGCTACGTGTGCTCTGTACACATGTGGATATGTGTAGATATGCAATGACAATAGCCGCATTGGCCCTTACTCTTGCACAGAGGACAGGGAAGGCAATGAGGCCTAGGGTAGGGTGGGAGCGAGGGACTGGGAAGTTCAATGTCAAGGCCCCTCTTGGTGGAAATGCAGTGTGACCCTGGCTGAGGTCTGGCTCTTCTCTGAGCCTGAGTGAGGGCGTTGTCTCCTGCCTTGCAGTTGCAGTGAGGATGCATGAGGGTCTGGAAAGCTGCATAGAGCTTGTCCCAGCACTATGTCTCCCCTTGTCGTTGTCCTTCCACTTTGCTGCTCTTAATATGGGAGAACAATGATAAGAGAGTAAAATCTCCTTGAGTCAAATGTGGCCACCTTTGGACTTGCAATGATTTGTTCAGGAGCAGACTGAGCTTTGCCTTTACCAGACTGGTGAAAACGGGGTCTCAAGTGGTGGCGGGAAATGTTTCTGAGCCCTCAACCCTGTCCAAGTTAGCAGAACTCTCTTTGGGTCTATCAGAAACCTCAGTTTTCTTGGAATTGACTAATATGGTGGTCCCTTCACTTCTGTCTATTCATTAAATGGGGCCTGGTGATCTGAATTAGTGTGATTTTACTGCACTATTAATCATTATCATTAGAAATACCACCATATATAAAGTGCCACTCCCCTGTTCTATCTACACAACAGTGGAGAGGTATACGAATTCCCCGTGGTGTGGATGCAAGGGGCAGCCTTTGGTCCAGAGAGGGCCCGGCCTCACCCACAGTCACACTGGTTCTTAGCAAAGCCTGGATCTGGCCAGGTCCCCTCTGGGGCCTGATACACTCCTCCATGGTGCCTTGGGAACGAGGACAGCTTGGCCTAGCTTGAGCAAGCTCCCAAGCTCAGCGCTCCTCTCTCCGCTTGCCTCCTGCCCTGCTCCCTGCCTGAGGAGAGCCTCGCTTGCTCTGGGTGCCCGCCCTCCTCCTGCCCCCATTCACCTCCCTGTTCATTTCTGTTTCCAGTGCAATGTGCCACCCCAAGCCCTCCCACCTCCCCTGCTTCCCCGACTCCACCAGCCAACCCCCTATCGTCTGAATCCCCACGGGGCACCGACAGCAGCCATACCATGCGGGTCTGAGCTCTGACGTAAGCACTTTTCTACTGTATTTCATCCACCCAGGGAATGGGTCCCCTTCCCTCACCTCACTGAGTCATCTAGGTCCTTTCATTCCAGCATTGCTTCTTCCCCATCCCTGGTGCTCTAGATCCCTCCTCCCATTCATCCATCCATCCATCCATCCACCCGCTTGAGCCCGCTGGTGTCCCCACACAGTGCTGGGCTAGAGTCAGCCAGTGGGGCTGCTTCTTGGATGTTGCGATGCCAATGGCCTTTGCTTCTTCAGAAGCAGACAGGGAATGGAGCTGAGACCACACCTGTCTGCTCTCAGGGAAGGTTCTTCCCTGACACCCCATCCCTACACTTCCTGTTGGCCGACAAGCTTTCCATCTGTTGAGATACACAGATGCAGAATCCCAGAAACCCCTAGAAGCTGTTTCTCCACTCCCAGATCCTACAGTCAATTCAAATAGCATGGAACAACCATAGCCAGAGGCTGTGAACCTTCCCTTAGCCCTAGCACAAAACTGCTCTCTTAGGGAAGGATGCAAGAACCCTGGCTTCAATCCCTTTGGTACCCTCTCTCAGGGTTGAGGGCCTGGGGTGGGTTTTGGCAGACTGAGACTTCTTTTTCCCTGGGAAGTTTGGCTGGAGTTCTCACTCCCCTGTGAAGCTCTCCTCTCACCCATTTCTCTTTTCTCCAGTGCAAGCCCTGGCTGAGGCCAATGCTGTGAAGCTCCACAGAGCCACATTCTGAAGCCGTCCTCTACCCATCTGAGGTCCTGGCTCCTCACCCTGGCCCCCTGCGCCTGCGCTCCCATGGGGATGCCGCCGGGAGCCAGGTTGGGGGCCAGGGGCTGCTGCTGAGAGGAGTGTGGGTACCTCGGTGTCCACACGCCCACTGCGCCTAGCCCGGAAGCCCTCGCTACTCATATTGTGGTCCTAGGCCATGGCCTGAGGTGGCAGGTGGGCAGCGCCATCCTTGTGAGTACCTGAGTCATGGGAAGCCTCGGCCTGGCTCTGGCTGGAGTTGTGATGACCCTACTGGAACATAACCTGTTGAAGAACATGCCCTGGTGGGGAACACGCCCGTGACTACCTTAGGTCAGGACTAGAGGTGAAGAGAAGATGGACACTGCCTCTCAGAGCCTGCTGGACACCAAGGACAGCCCCTGCCACCCTCGCCTTCCCCATCAGCCCCACCCTGCTACCCCAGCTATATCCAGGGCTTGACATGTCTCTGCTTATGGGTGCTTGCTGGGGTCCAGTGGAGACTGACCACCCTACTTGAGCCAAAAACAAGATGAGAGATAGGGAGAGGTTCCTGGGTGCCCTGAGGGGACAGTGCTGGCCGTGGCTAGAAAACAGCAGGTCTGTGCAGCGTCTGAGGGCAGGTTGGGAAGGGTAGCGGAAAGACGGGGAAGAGATTCTTGGAGAGTAGAAGGAGGGGAAAGTGGCAGGAGACGTTGGCAAGTAAAGAGGGAAGGAGAGAAGCAGAAAGTGGGTATTGGATTGGTTTTCCCAGGTGGAGCCTTAGGTTAGTGCCCAGTGCAGTGCCAGACTATCACCTCTGCCCCTCCGCTCTCATCCCCAGGAGGACCCACTGGTGGAGCAGACGGTGGCCTCAGCAGAGGTGCTTGGTGTGGAGATCCAGGTGTAGGGTAAAGGGAGCCAGGTGGCAACTGTCTGGGAGATGGCTCTTTGTAGGTCTGCACCTGTGGTCTGCCTCCCCATCCTGCTGTGAGAGGCAGAGAGGAGGACTTGGCTTAGGTAGCGTGTGGTCAGCCTTGGGGACTTACCTAACCAGCTTGGTGATATCCTTTTGCCCCGTTCCCCCTGGAACATGCAGTGGGCCAGCTGAGAGTGTGCCCAGGGCAGTGGGGATGAGGCCAAAGTCCCCGGGGCCAGATTCTAGGCACCTGCCCCTCTTTTCAAGCATCCCAGATAAGGACCCACTGAGGCTTGGCTTTCTTACAGTTGACTTGCCCAGGGAGGCTGGGGGGAGAGACAGAAAAGCAAAGCTCATTCTTCCTCTTCACCCACCTTGAGATGAATGTAGCCAGAGAGGAGGATGGAGAGTGGAGCTAGAGACACCTTGGCCCCTAAGCCTTCTCTTTGCCAGAGTTGCTGCCCAGAGACTTCAGCCTGACCACCAGCGGCCCCTAAGAGCAGCAACTGTATCTTCTACCAGTTCCTCTCCACTCCTTCATGACTGGGACAGTTACTGGTTCATATGCAAGTAAAGACGACAATTCACTCAACAAATATTTATCGAGCACCTTTTATATACCAGGCACTGTTCTAGGTGCTTAGGATATTCCCATGTGCCCGAGGGATTACAGACCAGGAGGATTCCACCTATTCTCACTTCTAGCAGGTTTTTTGAACATGACCCATGGCTACATTTTCCATCTTCACAGCTCAAGCATCCCAAATCTGTTCTTTCTCTCCTGCAGACTGGTAGGTGGGATTGGCTCCCAGGCCACCCTCCCTCCCTCTTTCCACAACACCTTTCTCCCTCCACAGGAAACAGATTTTTCAGGGCCCGCCATGCCTGCTCCTTCCTTTGTCTGTCTTTCCTTTTTTATTTTAAAGTAATATTTTTAGAAATACATGTAAAATACCAAGAAATATTGTCCACGCCTCTGCCTGCCTCTCACCTCCTATTTCATAAAGCTGGCTCTTTATGTTGCTTTACATGCCTTAATATATGTTTTGTGGAGATTTTACATATTATAGATCTATATGTAATATATATATATATATTTGTTTGGATGTCTGATCTTTTCCTACAGCTTCTACCCAGGCCTGTTTTCTCTCCCTTATCTTCACACCATTCCTAGCATATCAAGGCCACACCCCTTGCCTTTTGGATCCAAAGAAGAGGAGAGGAAAGACTTATTTTAAGACAGAGCTATTTTATGCTTTTGTTAAAAAAGCAAATCTATTTTCAAAATGTGCAATGTCTGAATGGAAGTGGCAAATAAGATGAGGGGACGGGGGTGCTGCCTCTAGGCCCCACCACGTGCCCTCCCCTCTGCCCTATCAGCTCTCTTCCATGCCTTTCCCTGTCAGCAAAGGGCTGGTCCCCAGAGCTCACCCAGGGAGCATCTCACCGCCAGGACAGGGCACTCCCTCAGAAGTCGTGAGTCTAAGGATCTGATGACATTGTCATTCTTGGTGATCCTCTGAGGATTGTCACATACAAATCCTCTTGGAACTGTTTACAGTTGCACAAAGGACACCTGTGCAGACACATGCCCCCCTCCCCCAGATGGGCTGCTGGGCCCCCTCTCCTCATTAGCCTGCTGGAAAAGGGCAGACGGTCTAATGGCAGCTTATGTCGAACAGCACTGAGGATGTCGGTCTACTCCTTGATGGACTCATGAGACGGCGCAGAGCCCAGAGGAAGCGGCTTGGGATCCTCTCTGTACCAGCCCTTTAGAGCAGATATGTATGAGTTCCTTGGGCTTCTCCACTCCCTTTCACTTGATCCCTGTCTGGTCTGGGTCACATCTACGGCATCTGTCTCCCTCTGTGACCCTTCTCTCTGGGGACTACTGCTTTTAAGGGAATGGTACCTTGGTCTGGCATCCAGACTGTGACATCCGCTTCTGGGCTGAGGAGGGTCCTATCGACAATGTGACATCGCAGCCTTGCCCAAGCAAGCCCCAGGACTCCTCTGGCAGGCTGCTGCTGGGGTGCTGAACTAAACCAGCTTGCCTTCCAAACTTCGCATCAGCCATGGAAGTGGGCAAGGGGGGCTCTTGCCTTGCAAGGATTTGGGCAGGATGGAAGTCTTTGTCCAGACCTGAAATCAAGGGTTTGGAATCTAGCACAGAGTTCCTGGCCAGCGTTTGAAGCCTGACCTCCTACCTTGGGCACTTACTGGCACCCTGTTCCCAGCCTCGAGCATCCTCCTATGAATGAACAGGGCCCAGACGGGGGCCAGGGCTCAATAGCCCACCCAGAGAAGCCCTGGTTATTCCTCCAGGGCCTTCTCAATTAGCACATGACCTCCCTGATCAATAACCAAGAGGCTGCAATCAAACACTGCTACTGTCACTTTAAAGATTTTCTGAGATTGCAAGCTGTACACTTCCTGTCCCGCCTTTGTGAGAGGCATGTCCTTGGGGCAGAGCTGATACAGCAAGAGGGAACCAGTTCCTTTCCCCCTTTCAGCCCTCCACCTGGCAGCTCTTAAAACTAAGGAAAAATATTAAATATACATATATATATGCATATATCTATTTATGCACATATTGGGGCCAATTTGATTTGCTAGTATTAGACAATAAACCATACAAGGAAATTTATGATCTCAGTGTCTTTATTTAGTATAAAGTGACCTTAGAAGAAGAGTGAAGTTTAGACAGAAAGCATCTCTGTTGGGGGACCAAGCAGCTGTTGCATTCCCTTAGCATCTTTCTAGCCAGTGCCCCCGCTCCCTGAGGATGATGGGGCAGCCTGACTGAAATAGGTGAGAGCTTGCTTCCTCCTTTCAGCTGCATTCTTCTTAGATTTAGGTACCGAAGAATCCCAGTGAGTTCTGCATTTGTATCTTGTAAGTTTGTATAAACCAAATACAAGAAATAAAATTCACGGTTTGCATGTGTGGTGTGTGTCTGCAATCAAACACATTCAGTATTTTTAGCTAAAATAGGCAATGTCTTATCTGTCTTAACTATTGATTAACAGTGTCTATGTGTCTTGCAATCATTACCCAAAATCCTTTTAATCAACATTTAGTCTTCTCAGCACCTATTGGCATAAACCAGTGTCTAGACTACATTATTCTTTTTTAAGTTACATGTTTTTAAAAGCAATCCTGGACTGAGTACTTTTTACTTAGTTATGAGTTATTACTCATATACAGTGAGTTCTGGTTCACACAGGTCCAACTAATGATTACATAAGACATGAATCTAAACTGAATGCCACAAAAGGGGCTCACATTTAAAGAAATGGTATACTTGAAGGATTTTAGGGAGTTTGAACTGAGTCCATCCCTTAACTCACAAAGGCTTTTTTAAAGATGTGTACCTTTTTTATTTCTCATGGGCAGCTGTTTTTTCAAGGGCCAGCTTGTTAGATAAGTTGTCCTTCCAAACCAGTCGGTAAGGCCATGCTAGCACAGAATAATGGGGTTTGCATTTCAAGGGCAGTGTAGGGGGGTGGGGGAGAAAGAAAAAAATATGCACTTTTAAATTCAAGCAGCTCACATCCAGCCTGGTCTCAACTACATTTAATTTAAGTGTTTTAATGCAAGTGTCTAAGTTTTCTTTTTTCTAAATAACCAAAATGGTCTCTTCTCAGCCTATTACAAAACCCTCCCCTCAAGCCAGGCTGGAGCTTGTAAAAGGGGACAGTAGTTGAGAAATGTAAACAAAAAAGCAACTAGCAGAATGTCCTTTAAGGAGTGGTGCTCTGTAACTGCATGATCATTTATTTATTCTTGATGAGAGGCAAGACAGGGTCAACCAAACTTCAGACCCCACTGCTGCCAGGGAACTAGGACCACACCGCAGCCCCTTCCTCATCTCCAGCCTCCAGTGTGGAACTAGGTTCACTGCATTGCTGAGACTGATGTGAGAGGTGGTATGTGCTGTGCTCAACAACCGGCCCTGCTCCCTGCTAGCTACATGAAGATTTGGACAAGTCACTGAAATTCTTGAATCTCAGTCTCCTCGTTTGCTAAATAGGATAGTAGCCATCATCTTAATGAAACTCTCAAGAAAGTCATATGAGAAAATGAATGAAAAAACACTTTGAAAACTGGAATTCCGGCCGGGCTCCGTGGCTCAGCCTGTAATCCCGCGCTTTGGGAGGCTGAGGTGAGTGGATTGCCTGAGCCCGCGGGTTCGAGACCCACCTGGGCAACTTGGCGAGACCTCATCTCTACAATAAATCAAAAAATTAGCCGGGCGTGGTAGCAGTGCCTGCAGTTCCAGCTACTTGGAAGGCTGAGGCGGAAGGATCGCCAGAGCCCAGCAGGTCGAGGCTGCGGTGGCCGGGAGCAGCCACTGCACTCCAGTCTGGGTGACAGAGTGAGACTCCAACTCAAAAAAAAAAAAAAAAAAGAACTGGAATTCCTTTCCAATGTGAGAAGTGAGGTGGTGATGCTGCGAAGGCCCCCACCATCTGCAGGGACTTGATGAGGGGAGCGGGAGGAGGTTCTCAGGACCCCTCCTTCACTAGCTGTACAGTCTTTGCTGGAAGACATCACGAGGGCCCCTGCTGTTCAGCCCCCGAGGTGTCCTTCCCTGCCCAGCCCCATGCCTCCAGCCCCGGGAGTGGCAGCTCTGCCCCACCCCTTCCCCATGGTGGCCAGGCCATGAGACTGCCACAGGCTGAGGACCAACTCCAGCCTTCCAGGGCCTGCATAGTCCTTCCTGGGTTGTCCCGTGAAGGCCCCGCTCCAGGAGGGTGGGCTGTGGACAGCCCCTCTGGGCTCAGCTCCAGTACCCAGAGAGTCAGGCCAGGAGGGCCTAGGTTCACGAGAGTTCAGTTTTCCTGAGCCCACAGGTACGTGCCTGACTGGGGTGGGCAGGGAGAGGTGTTCCCAGCTGTTGCTCTGTCCACCTGGGGAGCAGTTTGGAACCACAGTTTGAGATGAGAGCAGAAGTCTCTCATATAACCGCATATTGACAGTACACTAATACTAGTTATAAAGATGCCGTATTGTAATAGTAATAATGGCATATTAAGTCTTGCTATGTGCCAGGTACTCGGTTCTATGCACTTGACACATGGTTACTCACAAATCTTCATGTTGTCTCTATGTGATAGGTACTAATGTTATCCAAGAAACTGAGGCACAGCAAGGGTAGTTAAAATGCCTAAGAGCCAGGCGCGGTGGCTCACACCTGTAATCTCAGCACTTTGGGAGGCTGAGGTGGGAGAATCACTTGAGGCCAGGAGTTCAAGGCCAGCCTGGGCAACACAGTGAGACCCCATCTCTAAAAAAGTTTTTTTTAATTAGCTATCCCAGCCAGGTTCGGTGGCTCAGCCTGTAATCCCAGCATTTTGGGCGGCCGAGGAGAATGGATCGCTTGAGCCCGTGGGTTCAAGACCAGACCAGGTAATTTCATCTCTACAATAAAACAAAAATAACCCAGTGTGGTAGCGCACATCTGTAGTTCCAGCTACTTGGAAGGCTAAGACAGAAGGATCACTGGAGCCCGGAAGGTCGACACTGGGGTGGCGGTGAGCGTGCCACTGCACTCCAGTCTGGGCGAAGGAGTGAGACTCCAACTAAAAAAGAAAAAAAAAATTGGCTAGTCCCAGCTACTTGGGAGGCTAAGATGGGAGCATCCCTTGAGCCCAGGAGTTCAAGGCTGCAGTGAGCTATAATCGCGCCACTGTGCTTCAGCCTGGGTAACAGAGTGAGAGACCCTGTCTCAAAATAAAAAGTTTAAAAATGCCTAAGCTCCCATGGAGGTAGGATGAAGCCCAGGATACTTTGACTTTAGAGCCCAGACTCTACCAGCCATTTCAGTGGGGATAATACTGACCCTTAGGGGATTTTAAGGGGGCAAAACTCTTACTGACGCTTAGTGACTGCAATGCATGGGCCAGATTTTCAAGACCAAGAATTGACCTGTACGCTGCACAACTTTTTTTCTTTTTTTTTTTTAAGTTTAATCTGCACAACTTTAGAATGTACAACTGGACTGAACCCACCACTGGTATAAGTCGGTCATACTTCATAATAGTCATAAATAGTACTTAATAGTGATAATAGTACTAAAAAGTTTGCCATAATAGTACTAAACAGTTTGTATAGGCTTTAAAAAATAAATATCATGAATACCTCAGAAAGTTAAGAGATAGTTACTATGGAGAAGAAATTTAAATTGAATAAAGATATTGTCTCAAAATTATTGAATAATCTACTTCATGCTTTGTCAGCACAATGCATTATAAGATTTCAACTACTGTGTCTTTGAAAAAAGTTCCAATCAGTAAGTACTGCTGAATAAGCAAAGAGACTGAAAATATTTAACAGGAGATCTGAGAGAACCAAACATTAAAGCATCTGTAAAATGCAGGTGATCTCTGACCAGGTGCGGTGGTTCACACCTGTAAATCCTAGCACCTTGGGAGGCCAAGATGAGAGGATTGCTTGAGCCCAGGAGTTTGAGACCATTCTAGGCAACATAGACCTCATTTTATAAAATAATAATGATAATAATGCAGGAGATCTCACTGAATCTCCTTAAAACCTTTTTATTTTATAAAATTATTTTAGCGGGACACTGTGACTCACACCTGTAATCCTAGCACTTTGGGAGGCCAAGGCGAGAAGACTGCCTGGGCCCAGGGGTTCAAGACCAGCCTGGGCAATTTGGTGAGACGCATCTCTACAATAAATCAAAAAAATTAGAAGTACATGTTGGCACATGCCTGTGGTTACAGCTACTTGGAAGGCTGAGGCGGAAAGATTGCCTTAGCCCAGCAGGTCGGAGCTGCGGTGGTTGTGAGTGGTCTGAGTGACAGAGTGAGACTCCGACTCAAAAAAATGTATTTTATTGCCATCCTTTATATTTTCTAAATTTTTTGCAGCCCAAAGATGAAAACTTATGTTGTCATGATTACAGGTAGAAATGCCTGGGAACTTGCCTATTTTTTCCCCATCTTTATGACACTGTCCCAGGGGTCCACATGCAATTGGTCTAAACTGCTCTTATCACTCTTTCTCTTCCCAATCCATCCTCTCTTCCCCATTGTCACTTGGAAATATATGACTTCCAAGTCCTCTCAAGGTCCTGGAGACCGAATTTTACCTCAACGTGTGACTGTTTGAAGACAGAGATGTAGGTGTCTGGGATATTCCATCAGGACCCCATTCCATGGGAGCTCTTTGGACAAGGCACACACATACGACCCAGCTCCTTAGCATTACATCACACTTCCTCACTGTCCACTTTGCCCTAACTTGCCTTGCTATGTCATTCCTATTTCGATTCAAGTGATCTCCCTCTTTCCCTTATCATATGCAAGTACACCTGGTCTGTTATTACTCACCTAACAGTTTTTATTCTAGTGTTCACTCCCCGCTACTCTTCTGTTTTTCTTGCATGTGTGTGGTTTTTGTTTTTACATAGAATAGCTCTCGTCTTCTATTTCTCTTAAATTCAAACTTACATATTATGTGTGGGTGGAAGCAATCTGCCTATTTAATTTATGTCTTCTGGTAAGTCTTGCCTGAGCATTTATATATTGAGAGACACCATATTTATTATAATTTATTCTTTTTGTTTCTTTTTTTTATTACCGTTAGTTTTGAGTTTCTTAAATGACATAGGTAGATTCGTTGCATCATCTATGAATTTCATTGCTGGAGAGAGGAAACATTATGAAGGGGATGTTGGCGCTCATGGTATCGAGAACCACTATCCTACAGTGGGAGAAAGCACGTTAGGAACGAACCGCCCCTCCTTTCCCAGGCCCCCAGGGAAGGAAAGGTGCACCCATGTCTGCACTTCATGTGGGAAGACTGGAACCAATCCTCCTGAACTGTCCAGCCCTGCCGGAAGCCAAACTCAGGGCTTTGCCTTCCATACCTCAAACTCACAGTCTGCAGCTGGACACCGCTGGGGGGAAAGAGGTCGAAGCCCTTTGTGTCAATTCCCCTGCGGCGCTTTGCCCTTGATTTAACCCAATCTGGCTCTGCCATTAGGTCGGCAACAGGCTTAACTCAATTGCGCATCTCCCCCTAGTGTCTAGAACGTGTAATAACAGAAAAAAAACCACTTTCAGGATGAATTTAGTCCATTTCCATAGAGAAGCACAGATTCCAACTCTTCCCACACCCTCCACCAAACCAGGCAAGAAACCTGGGCACCCCTCAGATCCCAGTTCTTCCATATACAATCTAAGTTTTGTAGGGGAGATGTGAGCCGCTGAACATGGGGCGATGCAGAGAAAGGGTTGGGTGGGCGTTGCCTTCGGGGGGGTGCGTGGAGGGGGCAGCACCTCCTGGGAAGAAGTGGAGGATGGGGCCTGTGACTTCAAGCTGCCGTGTGTGTGTGTGTGTGTGTGTGTGTGTGTGTGCGCCCGCAGGAGGGTGTTGGAAGGATGGAGGAGAGTTACTCATTTACCAGAGACTCATTTCACAACTTACCAAGGGTCAGCTTCCCATGAGCATGTTCAAGCTTGGTCCTCTCGGCCGTTCTCCGCTTGCCAGCTTGGACCCCGAAGGCCCCCCAGGCAGAGTGCAGCATGATCTCCATCACCGAATGGCAGAGTGAGTCCAGTGACCTGTGCTGCGGAGGGCACGGGGCTGCAAGGGGCTTTCCAGGCCAGTTGAGGGCAGAGGCACGCCCCTCCCAGCCGGGTTCTCTCTCTCTGGGGAATCTCCAACTTGACCTCTGGAGCCAGGGACTGGGAGCTGGGGTGCTGGCACCCAGAGGAGCAGGCCCAGGGCGGGGTGAGCCTCCTCTGCCTTCCAGCCGGTGGGGGTTACCCAGGGCCCACAGGTAGAGGCCGGTACCCTAGAGTCCAGCTGGCCCCTTTCCTATCCCAGGTTCTTAGAACTGGGTTGCCACAGAGATGGATTCAGCAGGCCTCTGCCCATTCAGCAGTCTTTCTCCCACACGTCCTCAAGGTCTCCTGTGGCCCTGGGTCCCTTCTTTTTTTTTTTTTTTTTTGAGTTGGAGTCTCACTCTGTCGCCCAGACTGGAGTGCAGTGGCCGCTCCCGGCCACCGCAGCCTCGACCTGCTGGGCTCCAGCGATCCTTCAGCCTCAGTCTTCCAAGTAACCGGAACTACAGGCGCACGCTACCACACCCGGCTCATTTTTTATTTATTGTAGAGATGAGGTCTCACCAAGTTGCCCAGGCGGGTCTTGAACCCGCGGACTCAGGTAATCCACTCACCTCAGCCTCCCAAAGCGCGGGATTACAGGCGGAGCCACCGATCCCGGCTTCTGGATCCCTTCTTATCAGAAACTAAACTCCACTCCCCCGCCCCAAACCACCATGCCCTCACTCCTAAACATCCTTCCTCTTCCTTTGAGGAGAGGGGTAGGGAGGTAGTCGACAGGTCTGGGAAGGTGGGAAGGACTAAGGCTCTGAGGGTTTCATTCCAGCCTCTGAGCCCCAGTTTCTCATCTGTGAACTGGTGATAACGTTCAGTCTTTCCCTGAACAAATTTGTCCCTGCCATGTGCCAAGCACTGTTTGGGGCATAGAGTATACAACAGTAGATGAAACTGACATTATTCCCTGCTCACATTCTAGAGAGGGGAGACAGGTTTTAAAAAAAAAAGTAAGTATGTCGTATGTCAGATGCTGCTAAGTCCTCCAGAAGAAAATAAAACAGGAAGAGGTTAAGGAGTTTGAAGTAGGAGGGGTTACAGTTTTATGGAGCGTGGCCAGGGAAGGCTTCATGGAGAAGGTGCCCTTTATACAGAGACCTATAGGAAGAGAGGAAACAAAGTCATGCAGCTATCTGAAGGGGAAGTGTTCCAGGAAGAGTGTTCCAAGAACAGACAGTGCAAGGGCCCAGAAGCACTCACGTACTTGGTGTGTTTGAGCAACAGCGAGGACGCTGGTGTGGCTGCGGCAAAGTGCGTAGAGGGGAGAGTCGGAGAAGTTTAGATCAGGGAGGTCCCTGAGGGGTCAGACCACAGAGAGACATAGGCCATGGTAAGGACTTTGGTTTCATCCACGTAAGGGGGGAAACCATTGGAGGATTTTGTGCAGAGGCATGATATGTTCTACTTATAGTTTTAAAAGGTCACTCTGGGTGCTAGATTTAGAATAGGCTGTAGGGGTGGGGGGCAGCAATAGGGAAACCACTTTTGAGTGAGAGACAGTGGAGGAGACCAGGGTGTTAACAGGGAAGTTAGCAGGTAGGAGTGCTCCATGTTGGATCTGTCTGGAGGAAATTGCTGAGAGTATTTGTAATGGATTGGCTGTAGGTGTGAGAAAAAGGAGAGTCAAAAATGTACGCTGGGTGCGGTGACTCACACATGTAATCCCAGTACTTTGAGAGGCTGAGGTGGGAGGATTGCTTGAGCCCAGGAGTTCGAGGCCAGCTGATCAACATAGCAAGACCTCTTCTCTACAAAAAATTTTTAAAACTTAGCTGGGCATGGTGGTGCATACTCAGGAGACTGAGGCGAGAGGATCGCCTGAGCCCAGGTGGTTGAGGCTGCGGTGAGCCATGATTGTGCCGCTGTACTCTAGCCTGGGCAACAGAGTGAGACTCAACTCCAAAAAAAAGAATGCCTCCTATATTTTTAGTCTGGGCAATGGGAAGAGCTGAGTTGGAGGGAAAGCAGGAGTTGGGTTTTAGACGTGGTAAGTTTATTTGTGCTATTGGACATCCAGGAGCTATCAGGTAGGCAGCTTGGGATATGAATCTGGAGTTCTGGATGAGACCTGGACTGGAGAGAGAAACTTGAAAGCTGCCTGCATATAGATGGTATTTAAAACCATGACAATCCAGGAAATCACCCAGGGCAGGTGCAGCATCTCAGCCTCCAGCAACTGACATGGGGGGCAAGATAACTCTTTGTCATAGGAGCCTGCCCTGTACATTATAGGATTTTAGCAGCATCCCTGGCATCTACCCATGAGATGCCAGTAGCAACCCCACTTCGAGTTGTTCCCAACCGTCACATTGCCGAATGTCCCCTGTGAAACATCCCTCCCCTCTCCAGTTGAGAACCACTGGCCTGGGGAATACAAACAGAGACAGAAGAGGGCTGAGGCCTGAGCCCAGTGGCACAATGATATTTTATCAAGCCAATTAACCTGCAAGTGAATATACTCGTACCAAGTGTGCCAAGTCCTGTGAAGAAGGTGCTAAGTCCTCCGGAGAGAGAGAAAAACGAGGGAATCAGATTTAAGTCAGGGAACAGAGAGTGGACCAGGTTTCCCCGGGGAACTGACATTGAGTTGATACCTGAAGGATAGAGGTAGGATGTTCCAGGCCAGGAAACCGCATGTACAAAGGCCCCGAGGCAGGAAGGCTCCCATGGAAGCAATGAGGAGCAAAGCGGTTGGAGCAAAGCAGGCAAGAGGGAGAGTGACAGGAGATGAGGTGGGCAGGCAGGCCTGGGCCCCGCTGAGCAGGCCCTGTGAGCCATGATGGGGCTGAGAGGCTCTGCTGCATTCTAAGCCCAGCGGGCAGCCATGAGGTCCACTACCAAGACGGGGTCGTATATTTCTAAGATCCTGGAGTACTGTGTAGACAAGGACTGGGAGAATGTGAGAATGAAGCAGGGACTAGCTGGGGGCGACTGCAGGAGTTCAGGGGACAGACGAAGGGGGCTGGGAATGAAGGGGTAAGAGTGGAGAGAAATGGATAGCTTTCAGGATCCAATTCGGAAGAGAAAGCAATAGAACCTAGCTGCAATTGGACGGGGGAGAGTGGCCTTCTGCCTCAAGTGGCAGGGTGGGTGGTGGTGACACGCTTACTAGGTTGGGGAAACAAGGGAGGCGTGGGTTGAAGGAAGGGAGATGAGTAACCCAGTTTCGAGTTCAAGATGCCTGAGGGAAAGCCAAGCAGACATGCCGAGTAGACTCCAAGAGAGACCTGGGCCAGAAAGACCGATGTCCACGTTGGCAGCACACGAGGAACGTGGGGGGATGTGGGGAAACAGAAGGAGGAGAGAATGGAGCTCAGGCCCAGTTCGAGTCCCAAGAGGAGGAGAGAGAAGCAGGAGCTGGCAGAGGGGACAAGGAAGAGCGAGGAGAGCAACAGGAGGAAGAACAAGAACGCAGCATCATGGAAGCCAAGGGAGTGGTCGGCGCTGACAGATGAGGGCTATGACCTGAAGGGCATTCATGACCAAAGCAGGAGCAGTTTCTGCAGAAGTGCACCAGGCTGGGTTGGTTAAAGGCACATTTCAGGCCGCACATGGTGGGTTATGCCTGCAGACCCAGTACTTTGGGAGGCCAAGGCAGGAGGATCACTTGAAGCCAGGAGTTTGAGACAAGCCTGAGCAACACAGCAAGACAACGTCTCTACAAAAAAGTCAAAAACTTAGCCAGGCCTGGTGGCACGTGCCTGTAGTCCCAGCTACTTGGGAGGCTGAGGTGGGAGAATTCACCTGAGCCTAGGAGTTCAAGGCCGTGACGAGCTATCACCGCATTCCAGCCAGGGCGACAGAGAAAGACCCTGTCTCTTTAAAAAAAAAAAAAGAAACAAACCCTGGTTATGCCACCTGCTGGCTGTGCACCCCTGGGCAAGTGACTTAGCCTTTGTGTTTAGTTTGGTTTGTGTACTTAGATTGTGCCTGCTCAGTATGTTCATAATACTATCAATCACTATTGTTAATTTTTAAAAATGAATGAAGATCCTTCCTCTTCTCATTCCTCTTCCTCTTTCTAAAAAAAATCCCATCTTAAAGCCATTTATCAGAACAGAGAGGGAGGGATGCCGAGAGTGAGTGTCAGAGCCCGAGCCCCAGTGTCTTACCCAGCGAGGTAAAAAGAGTTGTTTGCATTGGGGTGACCTGGTGCAAAGTCTCATAGCCAAGGGGGCATCCCTGGAAGGTTGGGGAGGGGCGGAAGCTTTATGGTGGAAGGGCCTGGCAGATACCACCTTAAGAGTAAAGAAATAGCATCAGTAAGCTGGGCTCAGTGGCTCAGCCTGTAATCCCGCGCTTTGGGAGGCAGAGGTGAGTGAATTGCCTGAGCCCGTGGATTCAAGACCCGCCTGGGCAACTTGGCAAGACCTCATCTCTACAATAAATCAAAAAATTAGCTGGGCATGGTAGCACACGCCTGTAGTTCCAGCTACTTGGAAGGCTGAGGCGGAAGGATTGCCAGAGCCCAGCAGGTCTAGGCTGCGGTGGCCGGGAGCAGCCACTGCACTCCAGTCTGGGTGACAGAGTGAGACTCCAACTCAAAAAAAAGAAAAAAGAAAAGAAATAGCATCAGTAACGGGGCAAACAAATCGTGCAGCTCCTGTCAGGATACAAAAAGAACACAGCTTCGTGTCTTCTTGATATTTCTGCCTAAGATGCATAACCTGAATCCACTGAGGAAACATCCAACAATCCTAAATAAGGGGACAGCTACAAAATAACGGGCCTGAATCCTCAAAAGTATCAGGGTCATGTCAAAGAAACACCAAGGAATTGTTCCAGGCATAAGAGACTAGAAAGATATGACCGCCAAAAGCCACACGTGGGGAGGAACTGAATTGTTTTGCTATAGATGATATTACTGAACCAACTGATGAAACTTGAATGGGGTCTGAGGGTTAGATGGTAGTAATGTATCAATGTTAA